ATGGCAGCGAAAAAAGAAAGTTTTCCGAAGATTATATTAAGTTTGGATTTACCTTCATAGAAAAAGACGAGTTACAGTTACCTCAGTGTGTGATATGTATGAAAGTTTTAAGTAATGATAGCATGAGGCCCAATCGCCTTGAAAGACATTTGAAGGTACAACATCCTACTCTGGTTTTGAAGACGCAAGAGTTTTTTTCTTCTAAAGCAGAATCACTCAAACGGATGAGATTGGATAAATCGGGAAGTTATCACAAAGGTGTATCGCAGCATCTCAAAGCTTCATTTGAAATAGCTTTTATGATAGCAAAGCAAAAGAAACCTCATACTATTGGTGAAGAATTAATAAAACCGTGTGTCCTAAAAGCCACGCAAATAATTTTAGGAGAAGATGCAGAGCAAAAAATGAAATCTATTTCTCTTTCGGATAATACAGTCAAGCGTAGAATCGATGACATTGCAGCAGACATAAAGTCACAAATAATCAACAAAGTAAAATTATCGCCATTTTTTGCAATTAGTTGCGATGAATCCACCGACATCGTTAATTGTGCACAGTTAATAGTGTATGTTCGTTACATCGGCGGAGATATCATTGAAGAAGAGATTTTGTACTCCCAATCTTTGACAGCAGGTACTACTTCTGAGAATATATTTAATTCAATATCAAATTTTGTTGAAAAACATGACTTGGATTGGAATAAACTCATTGGACTTTGCACAGATGGCCCACCTGCAATGATAGGTGTACGATCGGGCTTAGCTAAAAAGCTCAAAGAAAAAAATCCCGCAATGGTTAGTACACATTGTGTTATTCATCGGCAAGCTTTGGCTTCCAAAGCATTACCACAGAAATTACGCCAGACTTTGGACTCAGCTATAAGGATTGTAAACTACATTAAGAGCAGCGTTTTGAACAGTCGTTTATTTACTTTACTTTGCGAGGATCTCGATTTTGATCACAAAGTTCTTCTGTTCCATACAGAAGTATGCTGGCTATCCAAAGGCAACATGTTGGCTCGCCTTTATGAATTGAAAGAAGAAGTAATTCTTTTTCTCGAGTTCAAAGAAAAACACGATTTCTTCACAATATTCAAAGATGACACATTTCAATGGAGGTTGGCTTATTTGGCTGACATATTCGATGCCTTGAATGAACTAAACTTAAAACTTCAGGGCAGTAACGGCACTATAATAAGCAATTATGATTATATTCAGGGGTTCATATCAAAGCTTCAACTTTGGAATCAAAAAATCTCTTCTGAAAATATTATGTCTTTTTCTCGGCTGTTCGAAGCAATTAAAAATAATATACTTGACGCAAATTTGAAAGCTGACATTAAAACTCATTTGCAAGCGCTAAAAGACGAATTTCGCCGATACTATCGAGACATCAATTCAGAGTCACCAATATGGTTGTTGGTGACTCTGAATTGATGTCTCGATATAGAACGACACCAAGAAATCCATTTGTTGTTGATGTGTTCCAATTACCAGAAGAAATTCAGGAAGAATTTCTAGATATGATGGCTGACTCGTCCATGAAAGATGACTTCCATCTCTTGACGTTGGAGAAATTTTGGATTAAAAGATTGCCTGTTAATTCGAAGGTTGCCTCTCTTGCTTTACGAATACTAGTTCCTTTTTCTTCAACTTACTTATGTGAGACAGGCTTTTCGGCTCTAGTTTTAATTAAAACTAAACAGCGAAATCGTCTTGATGTCGATAGCGACCTGATGATAGCTCTGGCAAAAACAGATCCTAGAATCAACCAAATAGTACAGAATATGCAATCTCAAGTGTCTCATTAATATTTACTTTGTTAAATTTAATTTTTTTGATAAAAAACAGGTACTAGTTTAATTAAACTTTTAAAATTTGTTTATTAGAATTAAAATGAAATTTTAAGTATATAATGTGCGTTTTTTGTTGTATTTATTAAAAAAGTAAAGGGGGGCATGAAAATTTAATTTATAGTCCGGGAGCCCCAACAAAGAAAAGGTTGGGAAACCCTGGTCTAAACTATCTCACAAGGTATTTAATGCCGAATGTGGTTCATGTCTGTTATAGTTTACACTAAACTATAACAGACATGAACCACATTCGGCATACGGCGTCTACGCAGGATCTTCCGGATCTGAATCCTTGTTGTTCATCTGATAAAGTTGTTAGTTTATTGATTTTATTGGTTAGGACTTTTGTGGTAAGCTTAAGTGCGGTGCTCAGTAGATTTATATCTGTATAATTGTTGGGGTCTTCTTTATCTCCTTTCTTGAACATTAGTAGAATTATTCTGTTTCTTCAAGCGTCTGGTATCTTGCAGTGCAATATTAGTTGTATAAGTTTTGTCATCTCTATGGTTATACTTTCTCATCCGTATTTTAGAAGCTCGTTGGTTATTCCATCTGGTCCCGGTGACTTTCTATTTTTGAGCGAATTTATGGCTATTTCTACTTCTTAAAAACTGATTTCTGATTTCGTGTCTAAATTCAGGTACGCTATTGTGTTGATTGTTATTTTTCTTTGCTTTAAATAGTTCCGTCAGGTATCTTTCCCATTCGTTTTCTAGAATGTTATTGTATTCCTTCAATGCTGCCAATGTTGTAAACTTTAACTTTTGTTAACTTGCTTTAAAATGTGATAAGAAAATAGCTTCAGAACAATATCTTTGGATAAAGTCTATGCACAGGCGTATTGTAGTTGTTACTGTAACTTTTTGTTCATTTTATGTCTTCTTCTGTTGAAAGGCAACTATTCTTTTTTCTGTTTCAGAGTCCATTGTCCAATTTCCACAGTCATATAGCAAAACAGAGAAAACGTAACATCTGATCATTCGAATTCTAAGCTCTAGTCTAAGGTCTGATCTTGTAAAAAATGTTTTCATGTTCATGAGTGTTTACATCGCTTGTTCGATTCTTGAAAGGATTTCTTTTTTGGCTTACACTGGCTGTTGATATTTGCTCCCAAATATTTTATGAAAGTTACCATTTCTATTATTTGTCCCTTGGCTTACAAATGTACGTTTGTTGGTATCTTTGAAAATACTAGAATGTTAGTTTTAAAAACATTTAGATGTAAACCTCTTTCTTAAGACCAAAAACATAGTTAGTAGAGATCTACAAATTATATCGAATCTGTGTCAAAATAAGAGCAAGCAAGAGCAAGAATTAGAGTCGAAGGAGAACTGACAGAGGAAGTAAGTGTACTTAGAGGAGTTCGACAAGGGTGCATACTTTCACCACTCTTCAACGTCTACAGTGAATATTTTAAGAAGCTTTATTGGATATTATGGAAGGTATTTTGGTCAACGGAAATAGCATTAATATTACTAGATATGCGGACGATACGGTCATATTTGCAAGTGACATGGAAGATCTACAGTACATAATACAACATGTATACAAAATATGTGAAAGGTACGGACGGCAAATGAATCTCAAGAAAACGAAATTAATGATATTCTCAAAAAAAAAACCACAAAATGTAGATAACCTAATCATCAATAATACAACGATCAAAAGAGTAACAACATATAAATATTTAGGAACGTGGCTAATCGAAGATGAAGATTAAACAAAAGAAATCAGATTTAGAATAGAAATGGCAAGAAAAGCGTTCATAAAAGTGAAGAACTTACTTTGCAACCGTAACCTTAATCTAGAGATCCGCACAAGAATGCTACGCTGTTACGTTTTTTCTACCTACTTTACTATACGGCATGAAAGCGTGGACAATAAAACAGTCTGAAATAAAAAAATTAAACTCCTTTGAAATGTGGTGTTACAGGAGAATCCACAGAATATCGTGCACTAAAAAAGTAACTAATATAGAGGTATTACAGAGGAATGAAGAAAGAATGTGAAGTCATAAAAACTGTTAAAATTAAAAAGATTCAATATCTGGGTCATACAATGAGGGGCGAGAAGTACGTATTACTTAGGTTAATTATGCAAGGGAAACTACAAGCCAAGAGAAACCCAGGACGACGCAAAATATCCTTGCTAAGAAATCTGAGAGAGTGATTCGGTTGCAGCTCATTAGAATTATTCAGAAGGGCGGCCAATAAAATTAAAATAGCGATGATGATTTCCAACCTCCGATAGGAGAAGGAACCTGAAGAAAAAGAAGATGTAAACCGAACATTTCGCTATGACGATAAAGCATTTATTATATTTGGAGTTCTTATGCGTTCCTTGCTATTAGGACGGTATCATCAGCGTAACTGATGTTGTCTATGCTGGTTCCGATAATCTTGATTCCAACTTGAATCTCGTCTTTTTCCCTTTAGAAAACATCTAATATACTACTCAGCAAATTGAAATTCTGAACATCAAAACAAAGTCGTCATAATGATGCAAAATTGTTTTCCGACGTAATTTAAATTTTCTCTCTATTATCCTATTTACTCCTGTCTATATAGTCATCCTGGTATCAGGAGTTAATTAGCGGAACAGAATGTAAAATTATTCTGCTCATTATATTTGAAGCATTATTTGGTTAAAATATCTTATTTTTGCTGGTAAAAAACATCTTAATTTGTCTGGACTATAGGTGGTATTTGTTTGAATTTGCCGACCGACGGACCATAGATATATGAAGATAACATTACTGCGTATTTCCACTATTCGGACAACCTTGATTCAATTATAATTTGGTGTAAACTGGTTTTTTTTTAACTGTCGAGTCAATTTTAGATATGGAGTATGTTTATATAAGTAGTAAATTGTTCTTCCCAAATTCAAAGATTTGTGAAAATAATACCTTAATGAATCATTTCCTCAGTTTTATCAAAACTGATTAAATACGGAAATAGTAATTGCTAAATTATAAAATATATACCCACTACAATAAATGTTTTACAAAGATTATGTGTAAACAACTCTATTTTATTTTTATTTTATTTTGTAATAACCGATTTAAACAGATTGTAATTTTATCACAATAAATAGGACAAAAAATTAACATTTCAATAAAAATATTAAATGTATTGTTTTATTTCAGTTGGTATTGAGTAATCCAAAACACTCTACTAAAAGTTTTGTATACAAATTCCTTCACGAATGGTTAGGTACAGGCCTTTTAACTGCTGATGGTAATTTGGCATTATGTGTTTACAAACTTCGTTGCTTATTTTATCGTTTGTTTTAGGAGAGAAATGGTCCAAAAGAAGAAAGATTATAACACCAGCATTCCATTTTAGTATACTACAAGAATTTGTAGAACTTTTTAATAACGAGACAGAAAGTCTCGTTAACAATTTAAATAAATTGTGCCATCAGGCGTACGTTGATGTCGTACAGCCTCTAACGGAGTTTGCGTTAAATTCTATTGGAGGTAAGTTAAAGGATTATTTATCATCATCATCAAGCCTTCATTAAACACCTTCATTCTTTACGATTTTGTTCTCTTTGTTGCCGATTTTTGTGATAGGCCTGATGTCGCTAGCCTAATGTTAATGTGTTGTTTAAGTTCCACTATGCGTTCCTCAACATCAGCAGTACTCGTCCTTCTTCGCAGACGTCACTCCTAGCGTAGACCGGATCGTTCGCTCCATTCGTCTCTGTGCCGCTCTCAATTTCGAAGCCGTATTCTTGAATCATATTTTCCGCCCCATAGATCATGACTAGTAATACGCATTGGTCAAATACTTTTCTAATTGGTATTGTTACCCCTAATTGTGTGTCGCAGTTATCCAAAGGCTGCCCATGCTAAAATAATTCGTCTTTGGATTTCGTATTTTTGGTTATCCTTTGGTTATTGCATGACTCAAATACGTATATATCTTCACCAGTTTTACCACTTTGTCTTGAATAGTTAAATGGTTATTAATGGTTAATATTTTGTAATATGTCGCCAATAATTTACAGTAGATATTTCTAATTATCTAGTCAATAGCTATGGGGGTATGATTATATAAACTTTAATATCAAGAAATAAAATACCAAAAGAGAGGATATTAACGAGAAGACTGAAAAAACGACTGTCAGGAAATCTCTGAAACCGAGAAATCTAAAGTTGAAGAATATTTCGATAGATTAACAGGCATACAGGCAATTATAGAGAACAATAAGAAGAAAAATTTGTTTTGATCTTTGGCCTTAGGATGCGTCCATTTGTATCCATTTGAATAGACATATTTTAATACGTGTTAAATAACACATAGCCTTTGCAGATATATATGAGAAATTGACAAATATCAGAGGCGAAGCTAAATAAACTCCATTAGAAATCCTGAGAAAAGAAAGTAAACAAAAAAAGAAAGGTGGAGTACAGAGGAAAACCTTTGGCTGAGTACCTGCATACCTGCCTTTAATACAAAAAGGAAGAATTAATTAAACTTTAATTAATTAAATGAATAGTGTATTCATTCAAGTCAATAGTCAGAATTGTAATTAGGAGTCTCTAATTTTATAAAAAACTTTAGCAAGTGGTACTAAGCTGGCCATATTTTTACAGCCAACTTTGAAGCTTGATATTTTAAAATCAGTCATTATCACATCACTTAAAAACTATTCATAACTCGGATGCACATATACAGTAACTTCTAACATATCAAACTTCCACCCACCTATTAACAATTTGTTACAGCAATAAAATGTTAAGTACCTACATGAAGTTCAATGACTAGACTTACCTTTGTCGTTTCTGGATGTTTTTTTTTCATTTTTCGGGATGACTATTTCTCTTACGCGTCTTCTCTGGATTGGCAGGTATATTTGACTTCATGAATATACTTTGTAAACTAATAATATGCGAAAAAAACAGTTTAAACTAGTGATAAACACAAATAAAACGATTAATATCAAACAAGTTGAAAGCAATTTCGGCTATTGTTGATTTCTCAGTCATGTGATCACAATACAACATTCTTATTGGTTGCTGAGGAGATGTACGTTTTTAAAATAAACCTTCATAGCAGGTATCCGTTTTTCAAACAGACCTTCAACTGTGAAGTTGAAAATAACGTATTTTCGTCGGTGTTGGAAGGAAACTGTTATCACCGTTTAAAAGAACGGGAACAATTATATAAGAAAACACTGCCAATTAAATTTTTATTTTTTTGGCACATGTCCGTCTTTGATCCGAAGCCACTCAATTATAAACTCAAATATATAGGGCAGCTTTTGAGTACATTCTGCTTGGGTGAGATTCAGGAACAAAAGATTGAAGAGTTGTGATTGTGGCTAGATCATCTTCGGGTGACTGCATACCAGATGTCTGGATGGGAGCGACTATTAGCAACAATGTTACTGAATTCTTAAAACAAATGGTGACATCTTCTCCTGTAATTCGTGCCTCCCTCATTTAGATGGGATTGTCGGTATGAGGAAGAAATAAATTTTTATTTAATATTTAGTCTAATAGTTTATGGAAAGTTCCGATACTGCAACAATTGTAACGTTAAATATAAATTTAACAACTTTAGACACGAATATTATAAATGATATTTTAAAGTTAAAACAAAAGGGTTGCTTTAAATATTTAATATTGTATCCGAATAAGATAATAATATTATGTATGAGGTTTTTCTACTTATATGTTTTATTAATTTTCAGAAACCTCCCTCGGTGTTCGACTTCGCGATAATCCACAATGTATGGAATATAAACAAGCCGTTTTGGATTACGGAGAATCATTCGCACTCAGAATAACCCGACCTTGGCTCTTTGTCCCTTTCCTTTATAGACTTAGCTTTTTATGGAAAAGAAATCAGAAAATTATAAATACCTTACACACATTTTCCTCTAGTGTAGTGAAGAAGCGCGAGGCAGATTTTATTCCAAGTGGTTCTAAACAAAAGAGAATGGCTTTCTTGGACATTCTTTTGCAGCAAAAGCATGATGGCGCTGATATTGATGCAGCTGGAATTAGTGAAGAATTGGATACCTTTATGTTTGCGGTAAATACCAATAGAAATTCGAATTCGAATTGATGAATTCGAAACAATTTTCTTGTTTTTTACCATGAATTTTTACACAAATTTTTCACACAAATATTTTTGGCGTGGAATTAAATCACATATAGCTGGTTTCAAATGCGTAACTACAATTTATCAAAATAGTAATTAATGTCTAACCTAACGAAACCATGGTATTACAACAAATACATCTTATGATAAACAATTGGTCAACTTGTTGAAGATAGATAAAGACCAGAATAATTGGTCCAACTGGTTTCCCCCACCAGACCTGTTTACAAACCGGAATATCTGGTCTAACCGGAATATTCGGTATAGCCGATTTGCCCCACCCTATTTTGTACCAGGACTGGTATAATATTACTACTTTCTATCTTTACACTATCTGTATCTGTAGAGTAGGAAGGGCGAGTTAAGTTTCACAGCACTTAGGTCACAATTGACCCATTCCGCATCCTCCCAGAGAGCTGTCGCCCTTAGCTCATTGTCCATCCTGCCATTTCTAGGAAGGTGGACAAGTCACCAAGAGACATCTCTCTTATGTGGGCAGGTGTGGGCCAGGACTCGCCGAACGCGTACTCTTGTATTAACGATAACTCCGGACATTCACATAGGACATGCTCTACAGTTTCGTCTTCTCGTTCACACTTTCTACAAAGAGGTGTGTCTGCTAGCCCCAGTGTTTGGAGATGTTTGCTTAGTTGACAATGACCAGTTAAAAAACCAACTGTCAAGCGTAGGTTTTTCCTGGTCATTCCCAAGTACTTCTTTGATGCTGACTCTTCAAGGTTACTTAGTGTTTGTACTTAGTGTTTGCGTATGGAAGTGATATCTGACAATTTCCGCTATTGTTGTAGTTGACCAACCAAAATGATCTCCAGGTTCTAAGAGTCTTAGGGCTGCCGCCTTCCTAGCCAATTGGTCAGCAATGCGGTTGCCTTTATTCCTATTGTGTCCTTTAACCCACCTCAGGATGATGGTATTACCATCTGAAGCCTGAGTTAGTGACTCGTGACACTCCATTACTAACCCTGATGTGACACGTGGTCTATTCACGGTTAGTAGCGCTTGTCTGCTATCTGTGCAGATCATTATAGTTTTCCCTGCTATATCTTTTTGGGTTATCTCTTTTGTTATCCAGTTAATACCCCTATTTGTTTGGGTTATCCAGTTTATAAAACTGGAAAATATAATAAGGCTAAATTACAAACTCGTTTCAAATTCTGTTCTCAAAAGTAATTTTTATCAGTTCTTTTATGTCCGTAACGACTATAAAATTACGGTTTTAGATATAAAACAATCTTTGTACAGTAAAGTCTAGTTTTATGCGGTGGATACGTTCCACAGGAAAGTGCATACAAAAAAATTGCATAAGTAAACAGGAAAACAGGAGAACCTGTTTATTTTACTAGTAACGTTGTTAAAAGTAAACTAATTATTCATGAACTTCGTCTGCAGATGGATATTTTTCAAAGTTATCTCGTTATAAAACGTGTTTAAAATAGCTTAATTCTTCAATACTCTTCAAGTTTAAATCATAATGTTTTTCTATTAATTTTTTAATATCAACTGCTATTTCTTGTTTTACTTGTAAAGTATATTTTGGTATTATTTTAGGACAAAACTGGTCCATATTTCTATTCGTTTTTGTGACGATTTATATTTATTCATATCGTGTCGATAAACAGGAAAACAAGGGAACTTGTTTATTTTACTACAATTATAGTATTGTACAATTATAGTATTGTTGTTGAAAGTCAACAAGTTATTTATAAACTTCGTCTGCAGGTGGAAGTTTTCCCAAGTTGTCTCGTTCTAAAACGCGTTGTAAAATAGCTTAATTCTTTAATACCCGTCCAGCTTAAGTCATAATGTTTTTCTTTAAATTCTCTAACATCATCTGCCTTTTCTTGTTTTACTTGTAAAGTAAGCCTTTGCCTTTTAAAGCACGTGGTCTAAGAGATTTATTTATTAAGAGTGGTTTCAACATCCCCCGATGTATTGCTGCAAAATATGTAATAATCTTAACCCGAACTTTAATTGCTTTATGTCAACTTGCAGTTTTTTCATCCTTTGCGATGTAAGTACGGCTAGGTATTTTTTTCCAGTACAGTCCCGTTTCATCAGCATTAAATGCTTGAGTCCATATCTTCAATAATTTTCGCTAGCTCCAGTGGAAATATTTTTACCGCTGCTTTAGCACTCTCTACTGTGATCTTGATATTATGAAATTTATTTCTTTTTATAAACCCGATTACCCATCCTTTGCTAGCAGAAATTTTTTTACTAGTTTGGGAAGTGGAAGTTAGTGTTCCGACTGTTTCGTTAACTCATTAAATTGGAGAGCTTTTTTCTGGATTAAATAACCACTTATAGAAATTCTTCTTTGAATTAGTTCCTTAGTCCAAATTGCGATGACTCTTTCTGTTTTTTCTAATAATAAATCCCTTGCGTAAGATGATAATTTCGCTCTTAATTTTGTACCAGAAATTATAGATTTTCTTATAGCATCTTCATTCTTCTTAAGGGCTCTTATAGTTAATTCGCCTAAATTAAAATGGTTTTCAATTACCGTAGATCCTTCTCCTTTTCCTAAGCGATCTAATATTTCAATTTTTCTTTCCAACAAAATTGATTGTCTTTGATGCTTTTTTCTTCATTGGGCCAAATAAAATCTTAAAAAAGAAATTAGACTTACGATATTGAGATGGCAAAAACCTCTTCCAATCAAAAATAAAACTTTACGGCACTCATTTGAAATCTTTCATTACGAAAACCGTGTTGCTTATTATATTGCAACTTGGAATCAGAAAAATGGTAAACAACTGATTATAGAACGAAGCACCGTTAAGAGAAAAATTATTTTAAAACCTTTCAATGCGAACCTCGCAATTATGTAATAGGGACATCATGTAAGAAGGGAATCCCCGAATTGCAAAGGCTCACTTTGCTGACTTCTGGATGTGAATACATAGTTAATATTTAATTATCATCATTTAATTTTCTCTTATCCACTGCTGGACATAGATCTCCCTCATAATTTTCCATCTATTTCGATCTTGAGGGCCTCTTGCATCCAATTCCTATGACAACATTTCAGATCGACAGTCCAACGTGTTGGTGGACGACATCTGCTTCGGTAGGCATCATCTCTTGGTCTCCATTCCATTATCCGCTTTGTCCATATATGATCTGTCGTTCGAGCCACGTGACCTGCCCAGTTGTATTTCAGTGTTGCTACTCTCTCGACTGCATCAGCCACTCCTGTTCTTTGTCGTAGCTGGCGATTTGGGATCTTGTCTCGTAGTGAAACGCCCAAAATAGCACGCTCCATTGCCCTTTGACACACACGGATCTTTTGAACTGTTCTCATTGTCATGGTCAACGTTTCCGCACCGTAAGTCAACACTGGCAAAACACACTAAAAATATGGTTCAGCTTGCAGATGGCTGCCCAAGTCAGTCTTATACGACGGAGAAGCTCAACGGTTTGGTTATCTTTTCCTATGCGAAATGACCTAGGTATTTATAGGCCATTACCTGGTCTATGGATCTTGTTCCTATGCATATATCTTCGCTGACTACAAGATTTGTCATCATCTGGTTTTTAAATATATTTATTTTAAATCCCCCTTCTAGCGAGGAAAGGTAGAGCTGATTTAAAAGTTCTTTGGCCTCATCTATCCTATCAGCTATTAGTACAATATCATCTGCAAACCTTAGATGGCTAAGCTTTTCTGCCTTTATGTTTATGCCCTTCTTGGACAGTTTTGCCCTTTTACATATATATTCCAAAAGCGTAGTGAACAGTTTCGGCGATATGGTGTCCCCCCTGGCGTACTCCACATTGTATCGGGAATTTCTGGGTTTGACGATCACCCACTCTAACATTAACTGTTGCGTTTTGGTATATGTGTTTAATTATATTTATATACCGATAGTCAATTCGGCATTCTGTCAAGGCTTCTAATATTTTTTGTTAATTTACGGTGTCGAATGCCTTTTCATAGTCGATAAATATTAAAGCTAGTGGTTTATTATATTCAGTGCATTTTTCTATAAGATTTTTTATTACCAGTAGGTGATCGTTTGCTCCATAGCCTTTTCTAAAATCCGCCTGTTCTACAGGCTGATAAAATTCCAATTTATTTTCTAGTCGTTTCGTAATGATTTTTGTAAGTAGTTTATAAATATGTGAAAGTAGGCTTATGGGGCTATAATTCCTGAGGTCGGTAACATCCCCTTTTTTATAAAGTATGATAATTTCTGCGTATACCACTGGGTTGGTGTTATTGCTTCCTGCAAACATCTAGTGAATAGTTTGGCAAGGACCTGCTATAATCTTTTTCCAGCCACTTTCAAGGCATCTGCCACTATTTCATCGCCTCGGGGGGACTTATTGTTTTTTATTTCTTGCACTGACCTTCGAAATTTATTGGGTGTTACGTCCGGTCAAATTTCAGATCCCTGATTGATTATCTTTGGTAATGATCCACTCCGGTTACATTGCTGTTCTTTGTATAGTTGTCTATACAAACTCTCTATCGTGTTCATAATTTGAACTCTATCCTCAATGATTTGCCCTTGTTCATTTCTTAATTTGTGGACGTTTTTTTCTTCCAATGTACATGCCCTGTCTGAGTACTTTCAAGCTTTTGTTTGCTTGTATTACTCTAGTTATTTAAATCGTATTGTATAGTCTCAGACCTTTTCTAACTTCCTTTTTAATTTTCTTATTCAAAATTCTTAGTTCATTTTGGTTATGATCCTGATTTTCCCTAAGTTGTCTTTTTTCTTTTGGAGTTTAAAATTCTGAGAGTGTTATTCCCTCGGATTTTGTATCATTTTTTTATTTTTCTCTGCTTGATTTTGAGTATTAATAATTCCAAGCATTTTTGCATATCTGAAATCTATTAAAGACCCTGTTTTTAATGTACGATTTATGCTCATTAATTCTAACACATAATGGTCTTGAAGTTTATCCCAGATAAAAGTTGTTGCATTGACAAGGAATTTTATAAATATAATTCTTTAATCTTTTCTGTAATCTTGGGTTTGATTTGGGATAAATAGATCCTAGTGTATATTATTGTTAGTTCTTTGAGAATGTGGAAAACTGGTTGTCTCAGGAGAGTAGTTTCAGGAGAGAATGTTACTGGAGAAATATTCAGCAAAGAACCAACTAGATGTAAAATAGACATTGATGGCATCAGTATTGAACAACTAATGGAGTGACAATTTTCCATAAAGGTATTAATCAGCCAATGAACAAGCAGAATTGCTTATACAGAGGAAAAAGAAGAAGGACATTCTAGGAAGGAGAGCAACATCGGTGGATTGACCAAATCTGGAGTTTAACTGGCTATTGATCCTGCGAAACACTTAAGACAGGTGAAGGTAGAAACCAATGGAAGCATTTAGTTTACCTATAAAGAGACACCACAATCTTGTAATCGGCTAATGAAAAGAAAGAGAGAGAAAGAAATAAATAATGGGAGTTCTAGACTAGCTGTGTTATCTACTAATATATTTTCCTAAAATATTCTCCGTTTTAATTTCTGAGGTCTTGATTCTACTTAGTTAGGTTTATTTTATAGTCCTCTCAGATAACCATACTATAATTTTAGTGGAGAGTTTCCTGACTTATCTGTTATAACAGGGAGACTTGGAGGAGACATTATATTGTAAAATCAAACTTAAAAATATGACGTATTCATTTTCCGGCAAATAATTTTTATGTATAGCTGATATATCTATATAAAAAATTAGTAGATACAGAAAGTGAAATTAAACATTTACTTTATTTTTAGGGACACGACACGACATCTGTGTCTTTATTTCACACTTTAATGGCACTAGCAGAAGAACCTGCAATACAGGTAAGAACTATTTTACGTCTAGTAAATATTTAAGTAAACATCATTGTTCTTGTGATATTATCTGTAGATAAGAAATACATATAAATCTAATATCTAATTAAGGCATTTTGTTCTAATCTAGTTCTAGCGTTAATTTAATTTTTTGTTAGTAATTATACCATTCCGGGATCTTCTCCTTCTGGTGCTCTGCATTACTGATCTATCTTATGTAAATGTAATTTTTAAGCTGTCCAAAATTACAGTCCGTTTTCGCTCTTACTTAGGTATTTTTATTGCATTTTATTTGTAAAAACACTAATTTTTTATAATTATAATAAAATAATATTAATGTTAATTTATATACCTACGTCTATGACAGTGACTAAATTAGGCAACCAGAAATACATGCTGGGAAATCAAGTATCAATCAACACAGGTACAGAGCAATTACTTTCCCCTACTAGAATAATAATTCCCCTTCTAATAATACCTTATCCATCCTTTTTCTCTAATAAAATCGTTATCAACTAATGTGTTGAACAATATTTTAATATTTAAATAAACTTTATTTAACACTTAAATATAAAATTACCTCTGGAGAGCTTATGGATAAGACTCATAATTACAGGGGGTTAAATATCATTTGTTAGCCATAGGGGCTAATTAAAGATATGCCTTATTTTGTTACTAAAGCTATTTACCTGTTTTTAATAATAAACTCATAAGATAAACAAAATTTAATAAAATTTGGGAATTTTTCAGGTAATATTCAACTTGCTTTGAAAAGTTCCCAACAATCTTACATAGACGTACCTTTATTCTGATTCTGCTTCACTATCTGCTTCTGCTTTCGATATAATAATCTTAATATTTTTATTTAAATAAAAAATTGATAAAGATCCTGTAATTTAATCGTTTGTGAAATTTGTTTTAGGAAGAACTGTTCGAAGAAATGGTATCAGTACTTGGCGAATCACAACCCCCTACATTTCAGGATCTAAAAGATATGCCCTTCTTGGATAGATGTGTTAAAGAAAGCTTGCGACTCTATCCAAGTGTGACGTTGATAGGAAGAGTAGCAGGTGAAGAAATACACACAAAAACAGGTTATATAATTCCAAAGGGCTGCTTTATACATATAATGATACACGATTTACACAGAAGACCTGCACTTTACGATGAACCCGACAAGTTTAATCCAGATAGGTTTCTTCCTGAGAACTGTAAAGATAGGCATCCTTATGCCTATATTCCGTTTAGTGCTGGAAGCAGGAACTGTATAGGTAAAAAATATATTATTTAACTTATCCTTTTGATAATCTTATTTTTATATAATTAGAGACAGTCTTATAAATTCAAAGTAATTATTTTGTTATTTATAAAACTTAATTCGGATTTCTTTTTTGGAAGGCGTTTGTTGTTATAAACTACTCAAGCCAATTAGATTATTGTATCATTTATTAGACGGTCAGCTGCCAATTTAGCAAAAAGTATTGGCTTTCCTAGCTAGCAGATTATCCAAAAGGTCTGGGCAACGAGCCTGGGTCTGGCGCTGCATGGCCTCAATACTCAGTTGTAGTATCTAAAACATAAAGTAGTTAGTGAGTTTGCTGTCTTCTTTTAAATAATCTGAAGCTCGTGATAACAACAAATTATTAGTACGACAAAATATAAAGAGTGTTTCTGTTTTTTTTCTCCCTAACTTAACGCCTCTTCTAATCTTCTACTTCAACTCGCTAGTCGTGTCTTACGCCATTCCCATTTCTTATTTTAATTATTTGGGTCGAATACGGCTGTTTAAGATGTGGTTCATTTTGGCGAGGATTTCCTGAAATTGTGCTGTTTGTTATACTAGTGCTCTAATGCAGAATTGGTAATTTTTGCTCGTGATGCACTGTCTTGTACATAGCTCCTTTTTTAGTGGCCTGGACGTATGTTATTCTGTTTTGGGCTTTTAGACACCTCCTGTAACTTGTTGTAGTTCGCACATGTTGATTTTGATCTTTCCGAATTTTACACGTCTAGTATGCAGATGGCATACTCTTTGGTAATGGTAGCACTCCTGGCAATTAAAACATTTGATTAAGGTAGACTAGATTCAATATGAGTAAGCGCCTAATCACTATTTTACTCGACCTGGATAGAAAAGTCATCATCATCATCAACTAGCCTCTAACGTCCACTGCTGAACATAGGCCTCTTGCATGCTTTTCCACTTAGTCCGATTTTGCGCCATCTGAATCCAATTTGTAGTCACTCTTTTTATGTCATCTGTCCATCTCGTTGGGGGTCGACCTCTATTTCTGTAAGCTTGTATTCGGGGTCTCCATTCCAAAATTCTTTTTATCCACCGGTCATCAACTGATCTTGCTACATGACCTGCCCAGTTCCACTTTAGTGTTGTTATCCTTTCAATAACGTCTGCTACTCCTGATCTTTTGCGTATAGTAGCATTGGGTATTCTATCACGTAGAGAAATCCCTAACATAATTATCTCCATTGCTCTTTCCGCAACTTGTAGTTTACTCACTGTTGTTCTTGTGAGCGTTAGGGTTTCTGCGCCGTAGGTCATCACTGGCAAAATACATTGATTAAATACTTTTCTTTTCAGACACATTGGAATCTTAGACCTAAAAATATCCTTCATCCTTCCAAATGCAGCCCAAGCGAGGTTTATTCTTTTTTTCAGCTCGATTTTTTGGTTGTCTCGACTTATTCTGATCTCATGGCCTAAGTATTTATAGGAGTCAACTGGCTCAATATCTTTGTCTTCTACTGAGATGTTTTTGTTGTGGACTAAATTTGTCATAAATTGTGTTTTTGTAAAATTTATTTTAAGACCAACTCTTTTTGTGGCAGTATGGAGTTCTTGGAGCATTATCTGTGCCTGATCAAAGCTGTCTGCAATAAGAACGATATCATCTGCAAATTTAAGGTTATTTAAAAATTTTCCATCTACATTAATGCCCTTTTCGTTCCAATCTATTGTTTTACAAGCGTATTCTAGCAAAGTTGTAAATAATTTAGGAGACATGTTGTCTCCTTGCCGAACGCCTCTTTCAATACGAAAAGTCCCAGTATCTTCATTAAGTCTTACACAGGCTGTAGCATGTTGATAGATGTATCTGATGAGAGATATTTCACGAAAAGTCAACTTAAAAGGAAAAGAAAAGGCCAAGTCAACTTTCACATCAATGTGAAAGTATAACTTTAACATTATGGTTCATCCTACGGTTAAAGTTGTCCTTTTAGCCAAGACTTTTTAACAAGGTCTATTATGGCCTTTGGTAATACTTCTACAAAGTCGTAGTGCTCGTTTTAATAATGTTCAAATATTTCGTTTCAGCCTGACAAAATCTGTAATTCATACTGTCTGTCAATCCGTTTTTATAGTAGAGATCTGCGATAACTTGCTGATCATTCCTATAAAAACGTTTGAATGTTTGAGACCTATTTGTTCGTCCCAGTAATTACGTTTCATAATTACACCCACTTCGATATGGTTATTTTGGCTGCTTCTGGCTATGACAACGAAAGTTTCATAGCAAGAAGCATACTACTAAAGAAACGGTCATTGTATCATGTTAAGCAAGATAACTAGAAAGAGTAGTTGGTGTCCACCCATGGGATGATGATGCAGTATGAGTTGTAACTGTCAGAACTGAGCAAAAGACTTTCAAACGTGGTATTTCAAAAAATTGTTCACTTCCTCTTCCTAATGAAGATGGTTTTTAATCGATCTTTAAACATGCTGTTCAAAAAGGGGAAGGATGTTAAGATCTTAAGAATTTAAAGCAGTACGGCAACGTCGACGTCACACAACACCAGTGAGGACAACAAAAAGACAATTCAGTTTATATATTTTTATGTATTCAAATTTAACATTATATTAACCATTTCATACAGTCCACTCTATTGAAGAAAAAACAACTTTCGTGCTCTTAGTAATAGACTATTTAAAAAGAAAAAATACTGTCGATTCACAGGCCAACGATGAAAAAACTTCTTTAATAAAATTACCGCTATCTTATGTATTTTAGTATAGTGATCCGAACACCATATTAAAAATGCTGCATAACTCATCATTCTTCACAATCCAACATTTATAATGCATAATATAAATGCATAATTACATTTTTATTTGTTTAACGAGCAGAGAAATCTAATGTTACTTGGTTGGTAGCACTGTTAATACATTGTAAAACACTCTTTGTTTCAACAACAATTGTACAACACACAACGGAATCTAAGATTATTAACAATCTTAGATTCCGTTGTGGAATTATTTATCAAGCTGTTTGCTTTGCAAGCTTTAGAAAGCACAGTGGTCAAAATTTGAATTCGATTTCGACAGGTAGAAATCGTTTGATGTTTCTTTTTGTTATTAGATTATTTTACAACCATTGTCTAAGACGGGAATAGATTTTATTTCGATCCAGAGAGGTGGCTATACCGCTCTAACGAGATCTAAAGAGGTCAAAATACGTATAAGCGGCTTGTCGCCGCTCTGTTTTGAAACAAAAATCTAGTACCGTCTTTATATTATATTTTCTTTTTTTTTATTGACCTATTTATTTGAATGATTTTGCGTATGTATGTTAATAACTAAAGTTTATTATTTAATTTATAGGTCAAAAGTTCGCTATTCTGGAGATCAAAGCGGCTCTGTGTGGAATATTAAGGCGGTTTAAACTTGAAGCAGTAACAACACAGAAGACTCTTGTCCACAAGCAAGATTTAGTTCTAAGACCAGAAGCTGGGATTAATATCAAGTTTATACCTAGAAGATAGTCATTTATCTTACTAATTATTAGCTGCCATAGTAAGATTAATAAATTGTGATACTTTTTGTACAAAGTTTTAAATTTTTTATGCATTCTAACCACTGCCTACTTTACTTATTGTTTTAAAATAAAATCTTATAAACAAGTATAACAAATGTTATAAATGTCCCTAAATCCTGTATAAAGAACCTGAGTCCTAGTGGAGATATGAGTAACAATACATTAGCTGACAGGTCAATACTTACACTTGTGATCTTGGCCGTAGAAAAGATATAAGTGGGAGCAGGGAAATGTTGAACTTTAGTTGCATTAGTAGTGTATTGGTCAAATGGTACTAGACATGGTGATAATAAAAATGATATTCAAATGTTCTAAAATCCTTTCAGACCATAACAGTTTCTGCAAGATAACAAAAAGTATATTGAAGTGGAGGTGTCGTAGCTGAAGACCTAGAGGTTATGGTAAATTACTTTCAAAAATGAAGACTTCGTCTCAATGCCTCTAAGAACGAAGTAACCTGCTTCCACCTTAACAACAATCTGGCGTCAGGAACCCTTAACATTCACTTTGATAACACACAACTCAACCACAAGAACCCTTCAAAATATCTAGGCCTAGCCTTGGACAGAACGTTAAGCTTTAGAGAACATTTAAGTACAGTTGCCGACAAGCTAAAAACCAGAAATAACATCATTCAGAATATCTGCGGCACAACATGGGGGGCATCGGCATCCACACTCAGGTCTTCAGGCTTAGATCTTGTTTATTCCGTAGCTGAATACTGCCCCCCAATATGGATCAACCGTGCTCACGTTAAAAAGATAGATGTCCAACTAAATAACACCATGAGAATGATCGCTGAAGTAATCAAATCTATGCCAACATATTGACTACTAGTGCTGAGCGACATTTTACCACCACACCTTCGCCGCTCAATCTGCTTACGAAAGAATATAACAAGATTCTTAGCAAGACGGCGTTGCCGATTCATAACTATATGGAAGATGCAACCAAAAGTCGACTACGATCCAGTAAATCTCCAACACAAACTTCAGAATCAGCCGCAGCCACAGGGCTTAATATGATCACCAAATGGATCCATGAATGGTCGACAGCTTAACCAAATACAGCCATACCTTTTGTTTGGGAAAGTATGTACCTACGAATTCTTTTCATATTTTTACAGTTAATATTTTTTCTGTTACGGTACTGTAATGTGATCTAATTTAATGCTACATTCTAACGACCTTTTTAAAATATATTATTTCCTGTTATTTCGTAAAACTTAAACTGGCTTAAAATTTATGATGTTGTAAGTACGGAGAATTTGGCTCTCTTTTGTACAATACGTGGATAACGAGCTTTAATTTAACCCAGTCAAATGCCTTTTTAAGGTCCACGAAACTTAGTCAAGTACAAATTATCAGTGATAACGCAGCAATAAAAGCAGGCTGGAAACACAATTTCGACGGTCTGCTAACAGAGCAAACACAAACAAATACAGCCCATGCAATATCGGCGATATTTGAAGAGAATTAGATATTGTTCTAAAGCTATTTTCTTGTGGCATTTTAAATTAGATACTATTTAATTGGGAATTAGCCACAATTGTAGGTCAAAATAAGTTTTTTATTTTTTGTCAAAATAAATAAATTTGTATATAGTGTACAAATATTATCTTTATTATTTATTTAATAATAGAAAGAAAATTTTAACTTATTTATACAATAAGGAAACAAAAACAAAACATATGTAAAAATTTCAGTGTGGAGGGGTTATAAAATGGTTTTCATAAATTAGATTTTTTACTTTTCGATTGAAGGCATGTTTATTGCCTTTACTATGTCCAGGATAAGGTTGTAGTACTTTATTCCTTCTAACATAATGCTTCGTTATCGTGAAGTTGTGTTTAATGCTGTAGCTCTAAGGTGGATTCTACTTCTTGCAGTTGTTTTCATATTAGAGTGAAATTTCTCCATTTATCACTAGTGTATGAACATACACATACTTGGAATATATTGCTTGAATATCTGTATTCTTGTTGGGTAGATATAGTTCTTTTGTTGAAAAAAGTCTTGGTAGTCTAAAGATTTTTTATAGCCTTATTTTGAAGCACACAAAGAGCACGAAGATGGTTATGTGTGGCTTTCCCCCAAATTAGAGTTAAATAGGTGACATGGTTATGTAATAAACTGTTATTTTTTGCATAAATTTTGTATGTAAGTAAGTATATGGCCAATGTACAGTCCCAGATATTTAACACATTCCACTTTTTATAAAGGCTTTGATTCAAGTACCATCGTCAATTGTTACCACTTTTTTCACCATATATATTGCACCATTATCACCATATATATATATATATATATATATATATATATATATATATATATATATATATATATATATATATATATATATATATATATTGATTTATCTGCATTAAGGGTAAGTTTATAATGATCTCATCATCTCTTTACCATTTGTAAGTCAATTTCAATATCATTTTTTGCCTCGTTGGGGTTTTTGCTGCAGTATACGATGCAGGTATCATCGGCATACATCTTCAATTCCTCCTATGCTGTAAAGCTCCAAAAGTAAGTATTAACCACATTTTTCATTAACCTTAGTCAAAATTTTAACCTATGTTCTTTTTAATTAAGTGGTTAACTATTTTCTAGGACACTGATGATGGAACATGGTTTCCGAAAACGTTTTGTCTTTTTAACTTAGCCCGTTTGGGCCTAAAATATACCTATTATAAAGGATTTTTAATTAAATTATTACTACTGGTACTATTTTTTGCATTTAAGGTTTATGTGATTGGGCATTCTGGACTACTATTATCCGACAAGCGAGAGCTGGCGGGTGAGCTGCGCGAAAATAGAAAAGGAATTATTCTAAGAGAGATAGGAGAGGTACTTAATCGCGGTTGTCACAAATGAGTAGTTGCCATATCAAAAATTTAGTTAGAATCTGAAAATTACGTTAATAGATATGTTCCGTGGTTGTGTCATTGCATGTGTGATAAACTTATTTACCACGAAAACAAAATAAAAATAATAATAATAAGTAGAATAAAATGTAGAAAAAATTTGTTAATAATATTTATTTTCTAATAATATAAAACGTAATTAGTTCTCGAAGGGAAGGTATTTTTGCAATGTATTGCGGACTGATGCAACTTGTTTGTGTTAATGATTACTAAACTAAACACAACACACAACACACATTCTTTGTTTATTTTTTATGCAACGTATTTATATGTACAATTAAAATGTCCAGCATATCTGTAGTAAATAAACATATTGGAGAAACACATTTCAATTTTTATGCCATTTCTATTTTACATGTGTATAACCAATTGCGATAATGTAGGTAAATTTTAATATGAAGAACTGTTATTTATATTTTGAAATAATTAGCTTGTGGCTACAGATATACGTTGTATTATCAGTAGTAATATCCCTAGGACATTGATAACAGACGAGATAATTTCATGACAATCAAAAGCTCGTTCCTTGGTAACAACACGAAGCCAAAGGCTGAGTCGAAAAATTATCAATAATAGTGAACTGTAAAGTACTAATTAACTGATCCATTATTTACTTATTATTTTCTGTTATTTTTTTGTTTTGTAAGTTTTTATTTATTTATTGAATATAATTTTATTGATTGTTACTTAAATTAATTTATTTAAATAGGAATTTATTTTGAAAATGAGTATTATAATTACCAGTTAATTGAGCTACACGTTCGTGTATCTTTTTTAAATCAACTAAGACTTTACATGCATTAGCTTCTTCGGTTGTAAACTTGAAAACATTGAAAATTATTTGAGATTCCAAAGGTTTGCTTTTTAATACACTGACAACACTGTCAGAAATCTAGCACTAATTACACGATGTGAACTCCTAGCCGACTGCAATAGAAGTGAGCCGTCCCTTCCACTTTTCAATTGTTGTTCTACGCGCAACCCGCCAGCTCTCACTTGTCGGATAATACATACTTATAAAATATTTAAATATTTTAAGAGGGGAGGGTAGAGAGTGTTTTGTGTTAAGGAAATGTTTCCTTTCTGCCGTAAGCAAGAAACTTTAAAAAGTTCTAAGGAAAACAATCAATATACAAACAGAATGTTTTATGAGAATTAATTTTAATGAAATAAAATAATGTCCTATACATAAAATAAAGCAATTAAATCATAAATTTGTTTTCCTCATGTCTTAAATTTTCTTGTTGTTAATTGAAAGTACAGTTAAATATGCTCTTCTAGTAGGAGCCTGTACTGCATTCCGTAGTTTGAATTTCCATTTTAATAACAGAAAATTTGCCGTCAATTTTGATGATTTAACTATAAACCCTTCAGCATCATTAATAGTATAATATCGTTCTTCTTGCTTTAATTTTTTTCTGATGATGCCAAAATCTCTGTAATTTGTCATAAAAGAGTGGCTACTAACAGGAAAGGTTAGTTTGACTCTAATTTTTTTTATCTCTTTTTTTATCACAAGTACATCATCATGCGAATCACAGTATTATTTTTATTTTGCCCTACGCAGTTGTCCCCAAACAGATAAATGTTTTCAGTGAGTTGTGTAGGGTAATAGGTGTCTTGGACAGGAATAAAAAGTAGAGACATGTTGGCCATAAAATCTATGCAGATACCAATATTTTCTTCAGCCTTACTGACACACTGCGTGGTCACTTCTTTCAGTGATGCATAGAACTTTTTAGATTTACGCTTGTGTATTTTTAGCTCAGTGACAGAGCTGTTCGCTTTGCATTCTCATTTTTTTTTATTTACTAATAATAGTCGCTTCAACCACCTGGGTCATTAGCGACATTAGCGACATTAGTTACTACATTATATTAAATTATATAAAGATGTTTCTTTTAGAAATCTAATTAAGTTTTTAGTATTTAAATGTTCACCTATTTTTTTTTTTTTTTGTTTTTAAGTCACTGGAAATATTGTTATTTTGTCTGTTAACTTTCCACATATATCTTCCACATTCTGTTACGAGATGTTTAACAGTAATATTGAGTTGACAGTAATCACACACTGGAATGTCTTCTTTACTTATTAGGTGCTTATGAGTAATATTGGTATGACTTAATCGAAGTCGAGAAATTTTGACTTGGTCAGCTCTTTTTAAGTTTACTAGGCGCCACGGTTTCACTGTCGACTTAATTTCTTTTAATTTAGATTCCGATAAGTTCCACTTATTTTGCCACGCACTAATCACTTTTTCTTTAACGAACTGTTTTATATCACTGCAGATAGTCTTTGACACTATTATAGCTTGATCATTTTTGGTAGCTTCTCTTGATTGGAGGTCTGCGTTTTCATTACCTTGTATTCCCGTGTATGATGGAACCCACATAAATTTGACTTCTGAACCAGATTCTTGTAAGACAGCGAGTTCTTTCTTGACAAGTAAGGTTATAGGGTTCTTAGTATATAGTTGACCGATTGTTGTTAAGGAGTTTAGAGAATCTGTGATAATGACGGAAGAAGAATGGTTTGTACTTTTGATATGAATGAGGGCTTGTAATATTGCATATAATTCTGCTGTGTATATAGAAGTGGCTGGCATTTATTTAAATTGGGAAGAGGAATATGGAGTGAAAAATGCTGCTCCTACGTCATTTGCAGATTTGGAGGCATCTGTATAAATGCAAAAGCTTTTCCCGTAAGTCTCGAGTTCCTTTAAACATGACTGTCGGATTACAGTGGGTGATGTATCTGATTTGTTATATTGGAGTAGCGTCGTATTGATTTCGGGAATCATGATTAACCAGGGAGGTGGAGTTTTTACATTTGAAGGAAAGAGGTCAGAAATTTGGAGTTGTAGATCTTTTAAATTTGGTGAATTTGGAGAAAAAGAGAGAAAAAATTGGTATTTTAAGTTTGGTAAAAATCGTAGAATGGTGAATCGAACCTACTTTTGTTATAAGCTTCTAGGTAACGGTCCGTAAATGCATTTTGAAATACTGGGTGGAATTTGTTGCTGGCGACTGATGCTGCATACGAAAGGCATAAATAATTTCTTCGTAGATTAAGAGGTGGCTCTCCTGTGAGGCATTGGAGATTCTTAACTGGTGTGGTTCTAAATGCACCTTTGGCAATGCGAAGTGCTGTATTCTGAATGACTTCAAGTTGCTTGGTAACATGTTTTTTAGCGGAGGCATACACTATAGCCCCATAATCTATTTTTGATCTAACGAGTGACTTATAAATATTTAATAACGTGGTTTCGTCGGATTCCCATTTTTTATTTGATAATGTTTTCATTACATTTAATCCATTTTGGCCAGACTTTTTTATTTCTAAAATATGTTGTTTCCATGTTAGTTTTTGGTCAAATACCATTACGAGAAAATTAATTTTTTCTGAGAATTGCATTCTCATTCAAAACAGGACTTTTTATTTTTAAATTAGGTTTCTCACATATAACACATGCATCTTTAACTGGTTGGGCAAAGCTAATAGAAGGGTAGTTTTCCTTGAAATATGTCCAAAAAAACTTTTAGGAGAGCCTGTTCTTAAACTATGTTCTTTTTTAATTAACATGTCGTACATGATTTTTAAATTCATATTAGCTGAAAAATACTTTTTTTCTTTTTATGTATAGTAATGTACTTTGGTGGGGAATGATGCTATATGGACCCTTAATTTAGACAGTATGGACCCAGGTATTGCATTTCCTGAAACGTTTCGTCCTCTTTCGTCAGTTGTTTCATTTAGCTGCAATAGATGGGGCAAACGGTAACACTGCTTTACAGTGTATCCATAGGTTTTTATAAATCCATTTTTACATACTTGTGTACGTTTTCCATTGTGTTCTACATAATAAATCACACTTACAGACTTAGGTTTCGCGGTTGACGAACTAGACCTGGGTCTTTTCCTTGCAATCTGACTAATTTCCATAACAAATTGGATGTAAATGTCCTGTTTTGTTTTGGTTGTCATGTTATGTAGTTTGGCGGATACTTCAATCATATCTTTTTTAGTAAAAGCTCCAAGGAAATTGGATTGGCAACTGAAACAACAAAAGACTTTATTGTAACAGTAATTCAGTGAAAAAGATATTGGAGATAAGTAAATGACTTTGAGGTTAGGTTTGTTTTAGTAGCATAATATTACTTCGAAATACATACAAGATTAAATTATCAGTAAAATGGTATTTAAACCAAAATTTACAAATCAACAACAATGAATAAAACAATACTTACCTGCAAAAATTTGAGCCTGGTTTTTTAGTTGGTACAATTTTGCCCACTCAGTTTAAGTGTTCTTGTCCAGCCACTTTAGACTTTGTTATGTTCCTTTTATATTTGTCATCATTCGTAAAACCTTTTCTTCTCTTGTTTACACACCATTCCTCATCTGAACCACTCATTTTAATCAAATTATTAACCACAGTAAAGACTACAACAATCATCAATAAACAAAGCACAATATTGTCTAACTAGTTCGAATATTTGCCACGCAGTTCTAGCGCCGCAACTGTTTACCGCAGAAAGAGAACTTGTCCTGTACTAGTCTCCTTTCTGCAGTAAACAGAATATTAAAAGCGTTGCCATGCCAATACTAATATGCGGACGTGTTTCCTTTTTGTTGTAAACGTTGAGTTTTGTTACTGGAAAGAATTTAAATAAAATACACAAAATTCGTTCATATTGGACATGATGCCTTTCTGCAGTTAGCGATTCAAATACTTGTTCCATCCCTAAATCAGCTTTGCCCTTTTTTGATACGTAGCCTCTTTTTGTTTTAATTCGTTTTGTATAGCATCGTTTCACGCTTTTCTTACCGTAGTTAAGAGCATCATTCAGTAATACAGTTTTGATATAACTGTAAAAAACTATTTTTTTTTATTATAAATACACAGACATGTCTTAAATAAATTATTAGGTAACCAAACTCACAATAGGACAACCTGTATATCATTCAGTGTAAATTACCAAAAATGTGGTTTAGAAAATTTGACTTATTTAATTTTCAAACTAATTATTGCCGATATCGTCTGAACTGATATATTTCGTGTTTATTATAGTAATAATAAATAAACAAATCTTAGAAAGAATCACGTACTTTAAGTATATAAATAATGAGAAAACACACAATTTTATTTTGATAACAATGTATTGGGTCGTGCTAATTGTTCTAGTTTCTGTAGCTTGTGTGTGGTTAGTGAATAAAAAACGAAAAAATCGATTGTTTTGGAAACATGTAATGGTTATTCCTGGACCAAAAGGTTTGCCTATTATAGGAACAGCCTACCATTTAGATTCATCAGGTAAAAAAATGTTAATGCAATATAATTTGATCAATATATTATACAGAGTAATGCCAATTTACACAAAAAACAAGTGATATTTTATCTGGAGTAAGACATCGTTTTGTCTTATCCATGCATGGATTTTTATAACATTAAAATTTTGTTTAGTGAAAGTAATAAATTCAATAGGACTTTTTTGGAAATGGTTTGTATTAGCAGAAAGTGATAATAATTTAAACAAAAGATCAGAAATTCCTAAAGCAAAACCTAAGCAAAATTTATAATCATATTATTTCTTTGTAGTTTATATATATGAAACCAGTATAATATCACATTTTGATTAATTTTCTATATATTTGTTACATTTTTTCAGGCATTTATCAATGGTGAATAAATCTTCTTCTTTTTTGTTACTAAACAAAACAGACTTTTTAAACAAAATTTTATGTTTATGACATTGAGGCTTAATTGTAATTGATCGCTATTCTAACTTATTTATAAATTCAATTGTTTTTGTGTTAAGAAACTTTTTCAAAATTATATTACAATTTCAGAGAAACATTTATTGGATAAGAACATTTTTATAATAATTCTTTTTGAAATATGTTAGCAGCAATTTTATTAACCAAACTAATTATATTTGGTTAGTTAACAAAAATGTTTTTCTTTCTAGTTCAACTTTGTAAGATATTTTGTATTTTTTAGCATCTCTTGATAATAATTGTAAACACAATTGAAAGCTCGAGATAAAAAACCAATAGCCCATTTTATTGACTCCAACCCATCCAAAACATTTATATATATATATATATATATATATATATATATATATATATATATATATATATATATATATATTATCCAACTTAATCCAAACTCATACTTTATTAGTTATGTATGTCTTGAAATATGTTGAGCCTGCAAAATTTATCAGTTTTATTTTAGAAATGACGTTTTAAGTGGGTCACATTAACTTCGTTAGTTTTTATCAACTGTTATAAATTAAAAAGGGGTCATTGTGTACAAGAATAAATACGTACTTTATCTTTATAAAAAATATTATTGAGTCTAACGCATTACGGATACTATACTTTATGGATACTAAAAAAAATATAGTTCAAAAATTAATACACTCCGCCAAAAAAGTATCGCTTTACCTATGAAACTGCAAATTTTGTATTAAAAATAATTTACATCATGGATTTCTTACAGTTGTTTTTTATGTACGTAACAAGTATTATAAGAAACATTCAGAATGTACGAAAAACAAAGGTTTTATTTAATTTATTTCAGGAATTAGAAGTAAGCGTACAAACAGCATTAAATAAAAAAAAATCAAAAGTAATGATAATTTAGTAAGATTTATTACCTCCTATAGCTCTTATAACATCTAGACAACGTTGTGGCATCATCATAATCATCATCATTATCATCATCAGTAGCTCGATAACCCTTTCTGGGTCCTGGCTTGTTCTAGGATTTTCCGCCATTCTGTTCTGTATTGCTTTGTTTTTCCAGTTGGACGTTTGCGCTGGCTATCATATACTGCATTTTTATAAAGTTTAAGTTGGCGTTAAAGATTACATCAATTTCTAAAAATTTGTAACCTTAAATTTTTAATTTGGTATTATTAATTTTTGCTTAAAAATTAATACAAGGGAAAATGAAAATGCTTGTCCTTTGTTGAGTGCAGTGGCACTGATACTTTGTATTCGAGCAGCACTAAGCCTTCGAAATAAAAGACAACGTCGATACAAACGGAGGCCCATTAACGAAAACAGAAAAATGAAGAATGTTCATAATTTCTTTAAATTATTCCCTTTAGTAAATTATTTTCACGCCGCCCATGCCTGCATATCTTCCTCAAATAACCGACACTACCGAGCGATTCGTTACGCCTTTTTTTTAACAAAGAAATAACTGCGCCAAATGCTCCTTCTTCTTTTTATCTTGTTTTGGTACATAAAAATCTTTCCTAATAACAAAGGAAAAAGGCTCTATTGTGAAATCTCCGAGCTGCCTTCTCAGAAAAACAGAAGAGTTGTTTTTCGTAGAAAGTTTACTTTCCATTGGTAAAAGCTATGAAAATGAACCCCAGTAGCCCAGCAATTAAATGTCAATTTCGCGTGGCATCCTTCAGCCAATATCCCCTCTCTATTTTCAACCTTCGCTTGTCTAAGCCCTTCTAAGTTCACAATCCGATGTTCATTTCCAAGTTGGTTCCTGTGGCAAGCGGTCTTATCTTCGACAATCGGCGGTAAGTGGATTTTCAATTCACCCTTATTTATCTTTACACAGTGTGTCTTATATTAATTATTTTCTCTTTTGTCAAACAGACGTCTTCCAATTGAAGTCACTTCTGTTTGCCGTTCAGATTTTACACCGTTCAGATTCTACATCGTTCAGATTCTACACCGTTCAGATTCTACATTGTTCAGATTCTACACCGTTCAGATTTTACACCGTTTCATATTCTACACCGTTCTTCTACTATCTTCTTCTCTCACCGTATTGTACTACCTTGGTCTAGCTGTCTCTTTTCGTCGGCCTAAGACAATCTAAGGGATTACGTTAGGAAGACCGCAATTTATTGTGAACGTATCATCCCAACTACCTGTTGTACGGACCGAAGTCAAGTGCTTTATTGAGGGCGTAATACCATTATCTGAATACACCTGTTTCGTGAGTATAAGTTTTATTAACTAAACTGTGATAACGAAATCTTTAGAAGTTGATTTAAGACTCCAGTTCAGTGTACCTTCTTATTTATGGAGGTTTAGTTTGACTGAGTATAAAAATACAGGATAATATATACGCATAAATAACGTACAATTTATTTTATATGTAGATTATATTTCTGATAAATTCTATTCTTAGATTTGAAGTGATCACGATCAAAAACCTAGTAATTTCATGTTTAGTTATCCTCAAGGCATAAAATTCACTTGCTTGCCAAATATTAACGTAGATATAATTATAATGTTCCTTGCCTTTTTCTAATTCTTGAGGATACTAAATTATTTATAACTATTTTTCAAAGAGATATTTTTTGTTTGTAATTAATAATAAGTTGAGCAATAATCATGCCATTTAACTGTTCAATAAAATTTGGTATAGTACATTTACTTTAACAAATATACCTAAATATAATTTTGTTCAAGAACTATTTGCTTTTTATTTCTTTTATATTTTTTTATATAATTTGAATTTATATTTTTGTGTTTCTCTTCCAGGCATTTTTTATTGAATTATATTAATATTTGTTTGATCGTATATATTGAGTATATGTGTCGAAATATTAGGAGTGTACCGCATAATTACGATACCTTTTCTCTCACGGTTTACTTTATTCTCGCGTGAGTTCTCTAGCTGTACCTTACCTTTCTCGTCATCCTTTTCTATGTGCCTTAAGGTTTCCCTGTTCCTCTAAAAATAGGGTGGTGCCCAAATAACTTTTCTTCTCTTATCTCTTATCTTCTCTTTTAACTTCTTGTCTTTGTGTTGTAAGTACTTTTTTAATTGATCAGTGATATTTGAGCTGTAACAAGAACCCCGACCAAGATACCTCTACCAGACTGAAGCCCGAGCCTAGTACCGTTCTTTGTGTAACCCCCAATCAATCATCAGAGAGGGTACAAAGACAAATGGTAATTTTAATTATTATACAAATATAAAAAAACTGGGATACATAGCAGTTTTTTTAATATACCAGGATGCAGTTTCCAGTATTTGAAAAATTACTGTAAATGATAAAACCAAAAATAAATGTAAACTATCGCTCTGATGGAATTTCCAATATATAGGAAATATAAATTAAATTATCTAAACTATTCCATTTAATAAGCACGTGGAAATACAAACAAACAAATAATTTAATTTAAATTGTTTGACAAACCTTGTCACTTTTTCGGTATCGCTATTGGCGGCGATGACAAAGATACAGTTTTTTTATGTTCTGTGATCGTGACTACAACCACAGAAGGGTTGGTGTATTCTGTGCTACACCGGTCAACGTCAATAGATAAAATTGGTTTATCTTGAACGGAACCAAACGCCAACGCCGACGGCGTTGTTTATAAATAGACATACGAGTTTCCCATTTGACCATGTTGTAACGCAAACGTCAACGCCAGCGCCAACGCCAACGTAAAGTTTACAAATCAGCCTTAAGTGTTTTCAGATCTTTTTCCACTTGTTCCATGTATCTAAGTTTGGGTCTTCCCTTTGACCTTCTCCCTACTGGTGTTTGCCTCATTTATGTTTTGGCATTTCAGTCTCCAACATTCGTTCAACATGGCCCATCCAGCGCAGACGTCCGATCTTTATGGATATTATGATCTTGGGTTCATTGTATGCTGTGTATAGTTCAGAGTTATATCTTCGGCGCCATATGTCATTTTCCTTTACCCCCTTATATATGTGTCTAAGGATTTTTCGTTCAAATGTACCTAATAGGTTCTCATCGTTTTTCAACAGTGCCCATGTCTCTGATCCATATACAAGGACCGGTTTTATCAGAGTCTTGTATATTTTGCATTTGGTTTTTCTTGTGATGTTGTTAGATCTTGGATATTTAATCAGTCCACTATATGTTTTATTAGCAATATGTATTCTTCTTTTAACTTCCTCGCTGATATTGTTATCTGCGGTAACTAGTGAACCTAGATATGTAAAACTTTTCACGCTTTCGATGTTATAGTCTCCTATTATCAGATTCTGTAGGTTTTTTTGGCCTGTCCATTTACTGACCTTCATGTATTTGGTTTTTATTTCGTTAATGTTTAGGCCACTGTTTTGTGCCGCTCTTTCTATCGCATTTAATGCTTCTACTGTCTCTCTTTCGCTTCTAGCTATGATATTAACATCATCTGCAAATGCCAATATTTGTACACTTTTTGTTATTACTGTTCCTCTGGTGTTGACTTTTGACTCCCTGATTATTTTCTCTAATGTGATGTTGAATAGAATACACAAATTGTATCTGTTAGTTCGTTTTGGATTCGAATTTTGCTTTGTACTTTAAATGTTTCTTTTACTATATCAATGAGTTGAGTCGGAATATTAAACTCTTTCAGTGCATGGATCAGAAATTCTCAATGAATGCTATCATAGCACCCTCAAAGTCAATGAAAAGATGATGTGTGTCTATATTAAATTTAGTAGTCTTTTCCAAGCTTTGCCTCAAGACAAAGATCTGATCTATTGTGGACTTCTGCCTTTGGAAACCACATTGATATCCCCCAACTATTTGTTCCGTATATGGTCTCAATCGGTCATACACAATATTTGGCAGTATTTTATATGCCACAGTCAGTAGCGTTATTGCCCGGTAGTTTTACATTGAAGCTGATCTCCCTTTTTTTGAGTGGGTGCTATTTGATTTATGACAGACTGGCTGTTTGATAAAATTTTATTATAAATAGTATGGACATCAGTAGAATCTAAATCCCAATAAATTTTTCCTCGTTAAGATTAATAACAGAAAAAGATACCAGCATCAGTTTGTAGCAGGGTGTTCCGCAGGGTTCAGTACTAGGTCCCATCCTATGGAATGTCCTGTACGACAGGGTGTTGAAGCTACAGAAGCCAAGTGGATGCACGCTTGTAGCTTATGCCGATGATCTCGCACTGGTTGCGAAGACGAATCAGAAAACGGACATGGCTAATGTGGCTAACACAGCGCTGCGTCGCATTAGTAGGTGGATCAGAAAGAACAATCTACAGCTAGCGCTCCATAAAACTGAGGTGTTAGTACTCAAATGAACCCGGGAAAATCTTCTCTTTGCTTTATACTGGAAGGTGTGGAGGTTGCACCGGTTAAATCAATTAAGTATCTGGGAGTATGGTTGTCGGAAGGACTAAGGTTCGGAGTACAGATACAAAAGACATTAGAGAAGGCGAACTGAAATCTAGAGGCGTTAATACGGCTGATGCCAAACATAATGAATGTAACTAGCTTTGGCACCTTCACAAATAGAATGGGTAAATCTGCCTCGGCAGACTGTACTGTTTGTGGTATACCAGACGGTCCCACCCGCATTTTTAACTGCCAGATATGGGCAAATGAGAGGGGAGATTTTGAAAGGCGAATCTGTTTCAGACTGGATGAAAGAAACATTTTAAACATAATGTTAAGATGAGAGAAAAAATTGAGAGAAGTACACTGTCTAATTTCTGGGGTGATGAAGAAAAAGGAGCAGGAAGACAGAGGAAGAAATTAAGCCGGGGATTTAAAATTTATGGTTAATTATTTATTAGTTTATGGCCTAACGTCTGGAGGCCTGGAGGTCTGGAGCCTAATAGTGTCTGGAGAAGACGATACAACTTCGAACTCTATAGAATATACCAGGAACCAGATATCGTAAAACACATTAAGATAGGACGTCTGAGGTGGGTAGGCCATGTAATGCGGATGGAGTAAACCGACCCAGCTAGAAAACGCTCCTTGATAGACCTATTGGTCAAAGAAGAAGAGGAAGACCCAGAACAAGATTCCTAGATAACATAGACCAAGATATGAGAAATATGGAAATACGTGCTTGGCGGAGAAAGGCGGATAGGGACGACTGGAAAAGAATTTTTGGGGAGGCTAGGACCTACACAGGGTTGTAAAGCCAAAATGATGATGATGATGATTATGGCCTAACGTCTAGAACATTTTCTGATTTACGGTAATAAGTATGGTTATTTATAAATTTTTAGCTTTTTATATTAGTTGTTTATTGAGTGACAAGACCACCTCTTTGGAAAGGTAGTTGAGGTTTTAGCCGGAACACGGTTAATCCGGCACTTCCCTAAGGTCTTCGGGCCTAGTATCCTACTCGGCCAAAAGATGCCAAGGTGTATTGTTCCATGATGTAGATGTCCAAAAAAGATTTTCTCCCACTGTTGCCTGTCAGAATTCTATGAATACCTTCTTAGGCTCTTACTGAAATCTGGCAATACGGCAATTAAAAAAAATATTAAAAATTATCTTTTTTTACAAAAGCGTTAGGGGCAGTACACTTAAAGTAATCCTGAATACATAGTACAACACACTCTGTAGATCGTTTAGATGAATTGCAGCGTATCACCTTATACCCGCACAAAACAATTTCAGAATCTTAAATTTTACTTTTACTTAAACTCGAGCTTTTTTACTTGTAAAAGAAACATTAACAAACAGGTGTTAACTAAACAATTGTCTAATTTTAGAGCGAGTTTTTCAAAGAGATAGGGACCTATGTAATACATACTTTCCCATGTATAAGAAATATGCCTTTGGTTTCGCTATAGTCAACTTGATCACTCCAGAGGATATCCAGGTAAGTTTTTAAGTATTCTTTTATTGGTTATGAAACCCAGCTTGTTTGCAGCTTGTTTTGTCAAACTCAAAACATAACCAGAAAAGTATATTTTACCGAATGCTCGAAGATTGGATTGGAGTTGGAGTTTTAACGAGTAATGGTGAGTTTTGTCATTTAATCTTAATACTTGAATAAAAACCAACATAAAATTGCATAAATTAGTAGTTGATATTGTCGTAAATATCACAGTTTTACTAAGTTGCGATAATAAAAGCATACCAGAACATTTTCGTGGCTTTCTTTAGGTCCATAAATGCCAAATATAATTTATTTCCCGGATTTATCAACTTTTCTATTATCTGTTGTAAAATAAATAAGTTGTCTGTATAGGGAATATCTGGTATAAAACCGCCTTGATCTTCTCCAATCTATCTAAACCATTAACCCTTCGGAGGTCGCGGTCATAAAGTGTACTGTATACGTCGCGGTGTATCTCAGAGATTCATTCGTTTAAGCTTAATGTTTCAATAAGATTGAAAAAAAACTGATCGAGATCGTAAGAAACGTTTATTTTAAACATGACTAATCAAAAAATAAGCGGATTTAAATTAATTTATTTTCAAGAGAACATAAAATAAATGCGGTATTAAGAACATAACAAAATAAAAACATGTACTTAATAACTATTATTATTGTTACTAATATAAGGCAAAAATAACCCAAACACATAATTAGATTTAGCTAAACTTAGTCGTTGTCGCATAGCAAGAAGAACACCTTTTTTATTGCCCGTTTTAGCAACATCTGGATCTGCCCCACCGGTTGAACTTTCCTCCTTATGTTTCTGAAGCTGAAGCTGCAATGATCTGTGAATATCTATAGTAATATCCGATCGCGTTTTATTCGCTCTGACAATAACTAACTTAAAAGGTTTCGAATGAAGAGTCTACGTGGTATTTTTAAATTCTGATTTAGCATGTGAATGGACTGTGCGTTGATCCCAGCAACGTTCAGGACGACGTAAAATATCACCATAGGCTACCTTCTGCTGTTTCTGGCTACATTATACGAACCAACTATATGGTCTACCGTGTCAACCCCTAATTTCGTCTGATTGTAATAATTAATTATCTATGGCTTGTGCGTATCTGAATTTACTTCGTCATCGAAGTGCATACTAGATACTAAAATTACGTTTTTTTCCTTCTTCGGCAAATGCGATACAAGAGTACAATCTTCACTAAAAGCAAAAAAGTTAGATTGTATTGATCTGTTTGCCGTACTCACTAATTCAGGTGGTAGTTGACGTTTGTTTCTTCTGACTGTCCCTACATATGATAGTCTGTTCCTTGAACTGTGAACCAATTATCAGCAGTGATATTTCGTCCTGAATTATAAATAGGTTCAACTAATCTTTTGACCACATCTACTGGTTTATTTCTGGTACGAAATGGACCTTCAGGCCGCAGTCCTGCATAAATTTCTATATTGCCTGTGTTAAATAGCTTAGAATCAACCATGGAAATTTTTTTTTGATGGGATATATTGCCTAAATCCGCATCTGCCCTGAAAGCTTGCGAACATCTCGTCTATAGTTACGTGTTGTCCCATAGAGTATCCTCATGGACGTATAAATAAAGATCTTAAAATCTTTATTTATACGTCCATGAGTATCCTTTTTTGCAATTTTCTACAAGTAGTGAAAAGATTTGTCTAACAGCTGACAACTTATCAATCTTTAATTAATCTGATCGAGTCGTATTGTCATCGAATCCTATACAGTTGTAAATAAATTTGAATCTTTGCATTGACATCGTAAACCTAAATAATTCAATTTTACTACCATCTGTTGCCCATAATTTAGCACTTTCAAATTTAGTCGATTACTGCGGTGTAAGCCAGATAAATACAAAAGGCTCAAAAATGATTTTAGTTCTATTTTATTGGTTTGTTTAGCATCTCTTTCTCTGGAATATCTACTTGAAATAAAGTCTATATATTTATTTTATAATGTAAAATTAAATCTAAAACTTCTTCTGGCACGAAACAGCTCATTCATATTCAGTTTTTGCATTTTTTGTTGTATTTCTTACAAGAGGCAATTGGCACAGAATATTTTGTTTCTGTCGCCTAATTTTATTTCCGCAAACTGGCTTTTCTCCCCACTTTGTTACTTTGTCTTTTCCGAAAAAATACTCCTTATTTTTATATACGTTCTCTTCGCTCTCCTCACTAGAAATGTCTTGTTCGCTGTCCGAATTTTCTGATCGCTCTTTGACATAATTGATTTCGTCCGCGCCACTTTCGTCTTAAAACTCATTTCTTTCATTTCCATCACCAGAATCGAGAACCATATTCTACAGCTCTTCAACATAATTTGGATGATCCAACTTATATACCCTTTTTCGACATTTTGAATAGAATATAGATCATACAACAAAATAAACACAAAAAAAACATAGGTTAAATATGTGATGTCGCGGTATCTATCAGATACAACTGTTGTTAGATTACAACAAACATTCACTTGTCAACCGCTAGAAATTACCTGAAAGCCGACGTTGTGCGTTTGCACATTTCTAAGACATCAATGTGAAGCTAGACAGTGCCGTAGAATTATAGCAGATCAGCCGCGACTTCCGAAGGGTTAATTCCTGAAAAGGTGACCTATTGAACTCGACGGGAATATTTCCAGAACCTGAGGATCGACTATTCTTCACTCTGGATAGTGCGTTTCTAACTTCCTCTATTGTAATAGCTACATTTTTATTATTACATATTTATTAAGTTATTAGGTCATTAAGAAGTGAATCTTTATTTGTTTAGAAACAAACCAGTAACTGGTCTGTTTTCAACTAGTAGATTTTTATATTTTTTCCATTTTGATACAGGAATTAAATCAATGTTTCTTCAAATCAAAAAAAATAATTTCTGTTTGTTTTGTTCATATACTTTCAAGCTTGCCACCGTTTTTAATAATTCTGTTGACTGAGCTTTTCCTAGCAAGATTTTCAATACAAATACAACAAATAAAGGGAAATTATGATAACGATTTTCATTTTCAGGTGAGATGTGGCATAAAAGACGAAAATTATTGACTCCTGCCTTTCATTTTAAAATATTAGAAGATTTTTTACATATTTTTAACAAAGAAACGAAACACCTTGTCCAATATTTCAAAGGAAACTGTGATAAACCATATATCGATGTAGTTGATCCAATTACAAGATTTACTTTATTTTCGATCGGAGGTAAGTATAAATTTATTTGGGATCGGTAAAAGATTGAAAATATAAAAGAAAGAAAACGAAATTAATATAAAAAAATTACAAACCAAGAAAATAAACCGTTATTTATACGGAAATATTTTTTCCGAACCTGTTAACTTTGTTACGACCCTGTCCAATAAATGCAGAAAAGTTCTATGTAATTAGTGCTGAAATATTACTGATGAATTACTATTAATTACGCTGTTGCTTGGACTAACCAATTATCCTTGGTAAATATATTCGAATCGTGTGGTTTCACAATGCCCGTTTATTCTCCTACAAGAATGAACAAAACAACATCTACCATAATTGATTATATTGTCTCAGATTTCTTACCCTTAGATGTACGCTTTACAATTATTAATGCAGAACTCTGATCATGTAGCAGTATATACCAAGTTTAACACTCTCAACAAACCATTTTTAAAAGCCCAACGTTTATGTAGGATTTTTTTCGCTCAAAACTTTCGTTGATTAGAAATTTTCGAATTTACTAATTGATTTCTAGGTGGCACTTTTCATCGGTGGACGTGGACTATAATTTCAGTGATTTTTTAGATAGCCTTGACTGTATTTTCAATTTGTTTGTAATTAACGGCATTTTCTTTAATAATAATTAAGTCACAACCTCACAAACCCAGGAAATGTATCTGCATATCAGCCAAGCATATGCGTTCACTACTGTATGTTAAGAAATTTACTACCAACGTCTTTATCACTAAACATATCTCCAAGTACAGGGGAATCTATGTAAAACTTATTAAAACAGCTCAAAACATGTACTATCAAAATCATCATCTTCTTCTTCTTCTTCACGTGTCATCTCCTCTAAGAAGGTTGGCAACCATCATGGCAATTCGCACTTTCGATGCCGCTGCTCTAAAGAGGTCAGCAGAAGTGGAGTTAAACCAAGCTCTTAAATTATTCAACCAAGAGATGCGTCTTCTTTCGCGACTCCTTCTACCTTGTATTCTTCCTTGCATTATTAATTGCAACAAGTTATAACGCTCACCCCTCATAACATGTCCCAGATATTGCAGTTTTCTGACTTTAACTGTATTTAAGACCTCTTTATCTTTACCCATTCTTTTCAACACCTCGACATTCGTGACTCTATCTACCCAACTTATTCTTAATATCCTTATGTATGCCCATAACTCGAAGGCTTTTAATCTGTCCCACACATCTTTCTTTAAAGTCCAAGCCTCCAACCCATAAAATAATACGGAGAACAGGTAGCAACTCAGAAGTCTTATTGTTAAAGAAATTGAAATGTTCCTACTGCAGAGTACTTTTTTCAGTTTGTTGAAAGAATTTCTTGCCTGTCCTATTCTTGCCTTAATCTCTTCTATGTACTCATTATTTTCATTAATTATTGTACCCAGCTATTTATATTCTTCAACTTTTTAAATTTGTTCTCCATGTATTGTTATGTTTTCTTGGCGCTGTTGGGCTTTTATAATTACCATAAATTGTGTCTTTTTTCCTTTTTGTGTTTACGGACAGTTCGTTTTCTTTACTGACTTCTACCACTCTGTCACCAGTTTGTTGTAAATCCTTAAGACATTCCGCTAATAAAATAGTGTCGTCGGCAAACCATATAATATTGATTGGTCGGCCATTTACTTTTATTCCCATAGTTAGTTCTTCTAGTGCTTCCTGGATTATTTCCTCTGAATACAAATTAAACAAAGTAGGAGACAGGACACAGCCCTGCCTGACGCCCCTCTCAATCTGTATTTCATTTGAAAAGACGTTGTTCTCTTTTACCACAACGATCTGATTATAATAGATAGGGCTAATGATCCTGATGTCTCCCATATCTAAGTTTTTGTTTTCAAGTAATTGGATAAGACGGTTATGTCTGACCTTGTCGAAGGCTTTGTTGTAATCCAAGAAACACATATATACTGGCTGATTAACATCCATGCACCTTTGCACAAGTACATACACAGCCAACAGGGCTTCCCTCGTTCCTAGTACATTTCTAAATTCAAATTTTGTGTCACTTATGTCCTGCTCAAGTTTGTTGTGTATTCTCCGGTGTATAATTTATTAAAATATTTTGAGCGTATGGCTCAATATTAAAGAAGCTCTTCAACCCTTGCTTGTTAATAACAGCCAGATCAGTATCGTTGATTCTGTAAAATTTCTTGGTATTTTGATATACAACAACATTAAATGGTCCCTTCATATCGATTTGTTAAGTAGGAAACTAGCCTCGGCCTGATATGCAACAAGATCTTTTTCGAAGGAAATCAATTCAGCTTCTTTGAAAATAATATATTTTTCTTTGTTCGAGTCTCTACTATGAAATGGTCTTCCTTTTTGGTGTTCTAATACATCTGCCCAATCTTATGTTATTTTTAAATTACAAAAAGAGAAATACTGTAGAAAGTAGAGAGTAAATATTGTAGAAGGTACTTCAAAAATCACAGGATGATAGCTTTTCCCTCTTTATATACAGAGTGGCCCAAAAGTCTGGAAACGGCTAATTATCTCGTAAATTACTAAACATAATTATACAAAATTTGAGATACTCCTATTTTGGGATACGGAGATTCCATATTTGGTATTTGCAATGTTGCCAGATTTTCAGTTTCTCTTATATTACTAGTAACTTTGGTTTTTCAAATGCATCACCCTATATTTTCAGTCATTATTGAAATCTGCTATTAAATACGAGTTCAACCATAGGTAACACTTATGATTTTATGTAGTCTGGAAGGTCTTAAATACATAAAACAGAAGTCTGGCAACGCCTAAATTGTTTCAATACATTTTTTAATACTAACTATTTTCAAATACATTAAAACGTAACAATTGATGGTTTAGAATATTTTTTAACATAATAGTTACGTTATTAAGTGTTCAAAATGTGCTCAATTTGTGAGTTGACAGCACTCTAATCGATGGTAGAATGCGTCTACCACATTTCTCCATGATTGTCTAAAAATTATTCGAGATTTATTGATAATTCGTTGCCTTAGCTCTGCAAGACTTGCTAGATAAGTTTTGTAAACTGAATTTTTCAAATATTCCTAATAAAAATAATCTTTAGGATTGAAATCGGGTGAACGTGGAGGCCATTCAACTCTACCTTGTCTACCAATTTATCGTCCGGAAAATATCTCATCTAAATAACGCCGAACATTTACACCAACTATCTGACGTTAAATTTCTTTCGATAAAAAATGGCCCAATTAAATAAGTACCTACTATAACTGACCATACATTTAATTTTTGTGGTCTTTGAGTATGGTTTTCACGCATTCAGTGTGAATTTCACATGAGTTCAGCTATTCAATACGAGTTCAACCATATGTTCACTTGATTTTATGTAGTCTGAAAGATCTTAAATACATAAAACAGTGCAAAATATGTAGATTTTAATAAATTTAAATATTTAAATGGAGAATGCTGTGATTTTGACATTTGTTCACCATTTAAATTATGAAGTAAAATTGACAGTAGTTGTGGTTCAAAAAGTTCTGCAATTTAAATTGCTTCTCTAAAATGCCATTCTCCTATTCATAAGACGACGGTACAAAAAACTGTAAGGCGATTTGAGGAATCTGGAGAAGTAAAAGATAGATACCGATCAGGTTGACCGAAACGAGTTATCAATGGCAACAAAACTTCAAATATAAGCAAAGTTTTGTTGAAGATCCACATACATCCCCAGGCAGGGTTGCACAAGTACATGATGTAGGTCATTCTTCAGTCTTACGTTTATTACGTAAAAATAAATTTAAATCATACAAAATTAACTTATTGCAAAAATTAAGTGAAGATGACTTTGGTCGTAGATTAGAGTTTACTGAGGTAATGATGGATAGAATTGAAAATTATTAAAATTTCGTTAACAGAATATGTTTCTCCGATAAAGCAACTTTTACGCTGTGTGGAAGTGTAAATCGACACAATTTAAGGTACTGGTGTGACGTAAATTCACACTGAAAACTGAATGCGTGAAAACCATACTCAAAGACCACAAAAATTAAATGTATGGTCAGCTATAGTAGTTACTTATTCAATTAAGTCATTTTTTGTCGAAAGAAATTTAACGTCAGATAGTTGGTGTAAATGTTCGGCGATATTTAGATGAGATATTTCCTGGACGATAAATTGGTAGACAAGGTAGAATTGAATGGCCTCCACGTTCACCCGATTTCAATCCTCAAGATTATTTTTATTAGGGATACTTGAAAAATTCAGTTTACAGAACTTAACCAGCAAGTCTTGCAGAGCTAAGGTAACGAATTATCAATGAATCTCGAATAATTTCTAGACAATCATGGAGAAATGTGGTAGACGCCTTCTACCATCGATTAGGGTGCTGCCAACTCACAAATTGAGCACATTTTGAACACTTAATAACGTAACTACTATGTTAAAAATTGTTATAAACTATCAATTGTTACGTTTTAATGTATTTGAAAATAGTTCGTATTAAAAAATTTATTGAAACAATTTAGGCGTTGCTAGACTTCGGTTTTATGTATTTATGACCTTTCAGATTACATAAAATCATAAGTGTTACATATGGTTGAACTCGTATTGAATAGGAGATTCCAATAATGACTGAATATACAGGGTGATGTATTTGAAAAATAAAAGTTACTAATAATATAAGAAAAACGGCAAATCTGGCAACATTGTAAATATCAAATATGGAATCTCCGTATCCCATATTAGGTGTACCTCAAATTTTGTACAATTATGATTAGCATTTTACGAGATAATTAGCCGTTTCCAGACTTTTGGGCCACTCTGTATGTTAGAAACTGTTAGGAACTGTTTGCTTAATTCGTAAACACCTACATGTTTTTCCAGCACGATCTAGTCATGACTACTTCACCAGAAATTTAACCTTTTGCTGTATATTTGCCGATCCCGTCCACTGAGTTAGTTAAAAAAACCTATATTTTATCAGGCAAAAAAATCACAGAACCATCTCCCTTTTTCTTTTCTTAAATTCCATAAAATAACAAAAGCCTATGTATCTGAAAGACCATATTATTCAGTAGAAGTTTTTTTAAAAAAAGTATTTTTTTCGATATGCAGCAACTGATTAGTTCGTTCGTAAGAGGCTCTTTTTTTATTATGCAATTTGCAATTTTTTTAAATTTTGCAATGGATTGTGTATTTAATTACCTTTTATTTTGTGATATTGACGATTTATATAATTTCAGTAAATTTTAAATTGTAATTGGTATTTTTCTGACTTTTTGTATGCTTTGTCCATACAATGGTACCATTCTCAACGACAACAAAACATATTTCTATTTCTATTTGTACACATTTTCATTAAAAAATTGAAAATTTGCCTTAATTTCTACAAAACATAACTGAATCTACTCAAGACAAAAAGGACGAAAGAAACGTGGGATTCGAGATCCAGAAAAATGAATAAAATTTCATCAGATTTCTTCCTGAAATAAATTGAATGTAAAAGAATGAGAACGGGAAAAAATAGAACAAACAATTAACAAATATGTGAATTATCTCAATTAAATTTCCTGTTATTTAATTAACAGTATTTATCTTTAAAATAACTACCCCGTGAGGTGAAACTAAAAAGAGAAATGTAAGAAGGCAAAACAAATCTTAATAAACTATTTATTACAATTATTTACAATCTTACCATGAGATACACCAGGTTAAATAAAATAAAAAATTAATTTTGTGTTCTATTGAGACACGAGGTTTTTTTTTAAACTTTTGGGAAGCCGAATAATATCCCGGGTTAAAATCTGAAGGTAATTGTTTGAATGCAGTAGTGCAGAATTATTTAGAGCGGCAGTCAACAGAATCCGCCAACCTTCGATAGAAGATGGAATTTAAAGAAGAAGACCTAAGGTTAATCAAACCCAAAGATACTCAAAATACTGCAATTTTACTCTTTGCTCCTCCACCATTCCTGGTAAAATTAATTTCACACTGCCTTTCCTAAGTATATGGCCAAGTATATATTTATTACGAACTACATGATGTTTTTTGATGATTTCTTTATATTTTTAGCTAATTTATCAGGACACTTAATCCACTTTTAGCCTTTCAATTTCACATTCATTGAATCCGTTATTTATAACAGTAACTCCGTAATAAAAAAATATAGATACTGTGTCACAGCTAAGTTAGAATTAAAGCGTTGTTAAGACAAAATATTGGTTTAAAGAAGAATGTTAGGACTCTCTAATAGTGAAGATCTAATTAAAACATCTATATTATCACAACTGTAATTATACTGAATAGAAAGAAAAATGGTTGTTTACTTAAATAAATTAAATAGTTTAATCTGGTAATGGGGGGAGCTAAAGAATTGAAAAATTTTTAATGTGTATTTCTTTTTAGAAACAGCATTTGGTCAAGATTTCCAAGAAGATCCTAAATGTGAAGACTACGTTCAAGCTGTCCACGACTACGGCGAAGATTTTATATACCGAATAGTTCGGCCTTGGTTTTTAATACCGTGGCTATATAAATTGAGTTCTTCTGGTAAAAGACATCAAAATGTTTTAAAGATTCTAAACGATTTTTCTTCAATGGTGATCCGTGAAAGAAGTAAGTCGTTTGATTCGGACATAAACTCAAATCAGTATAAATCTAAAAGAATGAGATTGCTAGATCTGATGTTGTCCACTAAAATAAAACTGGGAGGGATCGACGATGAGGGAATTAAAGATGAAGTTAATGGTTTTATTTTTGGTGTAAGTATAAAAAATAACTTCTAAGCGAAAATTCTAAAATATGTCAGCGGAAAAATTATACCAGCAACTTAAAAAAAAGCATTCATGAGGCTCCAACTGAAGCTTTGGGGTACAAAGACAAACATGAAACAAAAAAACAAGACTGGTGATCGGAGAATATGAAAACGTTAGTAAACAAGAAGAAAACTGCTTATCAGAAATAGATGTCAATGAGACAGGAGGAAGATTACAAGATATATAAAAAATTAAATTGAGATGTAAAAAGAGAAGTAGTGAAAAGTAAATGCTTAATCGAAGATGTGCAGAGGTAGATAGGTATATGGGTGGAATAAGAGTTGGGCAAGCGTAGAAGGTGACAAAGTCTCTCCGGAGAGAAGAAAAGAAAAAATCTAACTTACAGTTAATAGATCTGAAATAGTGGAAACATCATTATGAGGTCTTACATCATTAAGAGATTGAAATGGAAGAAATATCCGAACATACACAAATAATTGAGATAACAACCGGAGAGTTAAGCGATGCCCTCAAAAGATCCAAAAATGGCAAAGCAACAGGACCTGGAGACATCCTAATTGAGTTGGTAAAGTATGGACCAAAAATATTACACAAGATGTTGGTTTAACTATTTAACAAATGCTTAAAAGGACAAAATATCTCTGATGATTGAAATGTTGGATATATCAGCTCAATATTCAAGAAAGGGGATAAACGCAAATGCTCTAATTTTAGGGGACTAACCGTTATCGGCTTAGTGGGGAGGTTTTACGGTCGAATAATTAAAGAAAGAATAGAATCAGAATACGAAGACATAGAAGAAAAAAACGGATTTCGTGCAGGAAGATCGTGATAGTATATTCGTTCTGCAGCAGGTAATCTAAAAACGGAAGGCAAGGAATCTATCTACCCACCTATTGTTTGTAGATTTAGAGAAGGTACACGATACGATACCCTTAAAAAAACTGTTACAAACATTGATGAAAATAGGGCTCAGTAGAAAGTATGTGGATGCTATCGGAAATATATACAAAAATGCAGAAGTGTCGTTAAAGAAGGAAACTTTATATCTGAATTTCCAATAACAAAGGGGCTTAAACAAGGATGTTGTCTATCTCCGACCTTATTTAAAATATATATTCAGTCATCTCTAGAGCCATGGAGAAAACAAATATCCGAAATGGGCATGGACATAAGCGATGGTAAATGTCTAACAACTTTATTTTTCGCAGATGATCAGGTAGTCGTAGCAAAGAATTTTTTGATCCCTTATATTGGATCCGCCATTTTAAATTTTGCAATTTAGATATTAAATTCGTAATTCGTTTTTGTATTCATTTTTGTGTATGTCCAGGTTTTAGAACAAGCTAGCCTACTGTGCAACAATAATAACAATCAAACAAATACGTAAACTTAATTAAAGATATCTAGAACAATTGCATTTTATGTGTCGAGTATAATTAGAAACTGACCCAACCAATAATCTACAATTATAAAATGCAATTCTCATTACTATCAATTGTGATTTAATCCTATATAACATAATTTCCTAAACATGCCTCAAGAAAACAGTTTAAGAACCTCTTTATCCCATTCGACTTGCATGCCAATTTATATGTTGTTTTTTTTTTTGTGAATATTTTATAATATTTTTTAATGTATTAGGCTACAGTTGTTAGTAAAGATATTAAGAATATATGAAAATTTAGAAAATATTAGAAAATAGATATCTAGAAATTAATTTATCATTTTTTTTAGGGGCATGATACCACTGGTACTGCACTTTGCCATGCTTTGTTGCTGGTAGCTAATGAGCCGTTAGTACAGGTATGTCTCTCTTAAATTTATATTTTTCATAACATATAGAAACTTGATAATGATTCAACAAGGTATATATTTTAAAAATGAATAAAAGACAGAACCAGAAACATGTATGTCATAGAGATTGATGGAGTTCAAGAAACCTGGACAAAAATTAAATCAAATTCTTGTTTTCAAGAAAGTCAATCAAAGAAAGCCAAAAGCCCTTCACTTTGTTCTGGATAACAATTGAGGCAATGTCTAGAATAAGGGCCTATAGGTCTATGAGCCCTTCTTCCGGAGAATACAGAATTGAACTCCTTATGTTGTTCTCTGTCAGTCTAACCATTTTTTTCTATGATATTACGGTTTTTTACATTGGTACACAACACTTTTTTAGTGAAGTGTTGGCACACCTAAGAAAGATTTGTATTTTGGTAAATTTCTGACAAAGTGATTAGGATTATGTTATGTTTTAAACTGAAAGTTTAAATGTATTTTTAAGCAACGGCTAGTCGAAAAGCTATTTTAGATAACGCAGTGTCAAAAGGGGCCAAAAAGAAAATTGTTCAGAAGGATCATTGAAAAAAAAACATGGAAAATCTAAGAGATAGAGTGGACAGGAGTATGTGTCAAAATTTACGGAAAAAAACTGTACAGAGTAAGGTGTTTTCTCTTGTCCGTAAATGTTGTGTAGAAAAATATTTTGCAAAAATAGCAGAGCAAGATCAAAAGCGTTTGTTTCACTCTTTTTATAGTAATGGTTCAAAAAAAAGAACAAGACACTCTTTTAGTAGGTTGCATGGCATTTGAAAAACCTCTAGAAAGCTATAGAAAGAGAGAAAATAAAAAAATTAGGAGACAGTATCATGGAAATACAAGCTTAAAACTTCTGGCTGTGATGTACCATATGCCATTCCTTTTTTGTTGACTTATATCAAGTAGGAGTGAAGTATGTAAGAATATTACAGAAAAAAATTGTTAAGGAAACTTGTAATGGTAAGACTACCAAAGATAATTGAAGTACTATTATAAAAATAATACCTCAATTAACCATGGGAGCTTATCGTCTATACCTTGCCTAGCTCGGTATCTCAAGTGTGAGTTCGTCTTGTCTTAAACTAGGGGTTGAACCCGGACCCTTAGCTGATAGCAAATAAAACAAATTTTAGCAGTAAGTACTTAGCCCAAAAGAATGTTCTAGATCATAAAATGAATCATAATAATGTTTGCCTTCTTTTATAAATTTCAATTATAAACAAAAAATAATCCCACCGTTAATGATGATTGACAGAAAATAGGATGGGACTGCTTGAAGTTAGTACTGATGTCATAGGATGTTCCTATGATGGAATTAGCTTTTCTGTCAATACAGAACACAATATTTAACGGGACAGAAAGAGAGAGAAAAGAAAGAGAGGGGGAGAAAGAGAAAAACAGAGGGATCCAACCACTTTTTTAAGAAAAAATAGTAAACAGAGAAACTGAAATTAAAGGAATTAATAAATTACTAAAGAAATTAAAATAAAATGATTTTTTAAATATAAATTAATAAACATGTGACGTTTATAACGTTACAAACTTCGCTTGATGAAAAACATGGAAACACGGAAACCAAAGAAAAATTTCAGATAACGTTTAGTCTATGGCTTTAGAACATATAAAATGTATTCCACATAAACCATGTCATTTCACACCTGGAAAAACAAACAGGTTGTACTTCGATAACCCACACCTAAGTTGTTTAAAGACACTACTGGAATAATCTTACCATGAAATACAAAACCTATTTTAAGTTTTTCAGAGAAACTAATTTTACATTCAAAAAACCGAAGACTGACACATGTGATTATTGTCGTGAGTATGAAATCAAACTAGAATGAACCGGAATGATGAATGATTATGATTACAATCTTTATAAAAAGAGACTCGAGGCATATTCCAAGCTAAAATATGATTACTTGAGAAAGGCAAAATTCTATTCTGGAATTTGATTACGCATAAAATCTACCGTTGCCAAAGCTCAGCATAACAAAACAGTTCTATAAAAGACTTTTATGGATATAAAAATGGAGTAAGTAGTGTTGCTTCATTCATGTTTGACTGTATTCACAATAAATTTGCAGGTTATCCTAATACCAAGCATATTGATCTTCTATCAGATGCAGCTGGAGGTCAAAAAAAAATTAGACTTTGTTACGGTTTTGTTCTTGAATATCAAAACTATACAGAGTCAAAGTGATATACTCGGTTAGCTATTCCAAGTCCGAACTGTCTAGTGATTTAATTATTTTTTCGCGAAGTTAGTTACTTTTTGACAGACTAAAAATGGCTGGAAATTACTATACAACCAAGCACACGTACGCATAGCCAATATTATTAGTAAACAAACTAAATAATAAATGAAATAGAACATTACAAAAATTACCGACAATCAATATTTATTTATCTGCACCATATAATAAATAGTTATGTTAAATTATAACAACTAAAATATATTTTTTAAATATATACTAATTACTCAAAATTTGATGGGTTTAGTATGCCACTACTAGTAGCTTCCACTATTTAGAATAATTCTTCTTTTTTCAAATAAAGAAGTCTGCAATAGTAGTATACTTAAGTTATTAATAGGTACTGAGAAGTAGGAATTGTTGTGTTGTAGGTTTCCGACAATAAATCTCTCAAAATATGCCCGAGCTAAGCGAATGAAGTATACATATTTATCTTGTTCGTGGACACTATTTTAGTCAGTGCGACAGAAATTTTGGGGTTATAAGGCAGGCCTTGAAAAGAGTTCAAGATGTCTAGTAGTCAGTAAAGGTGCCAGTAAAATAGATCTTTCTTCTGCAATAGACATTTTAATCTGCCCAACTGGAGACCAATAAACATGGAGAACTAGTCTATGAAGACCACGAGGAAGACCGCAAATGCGATGGAGCGACGATATTAAAACACCTGCAGGACCAATGTGGAAACGTCTTACAAACAACAGAGATGAATGAACAAGAATTAGGAGAGGCCTATATTCAGCAATCCAAATAAAGAAAAGAGCTTACAAAAAATGTGTTCTCCAGAAAAAGAGCTTATGTGCACTTATTTTAATACTCTTTATTTGAAAAGAAAAAAGGAACATATTTTCTCCAATTCTTAAAACTAAAATACTTAAACAATGTAAGTGTTGGTTGACCCTAGGCATGGATGTTAAATCTTTAAAAGCTTGTTTCTCAAAATACACTTTTAGCAGGTCCTTCTTCTAGGTATCACCTCAATTAAAATATCTTCCTCCGTTTTCTTATTATAGAATTATAATGTGTTTATTGTGTAAAAGTGTGTTCAAAACTAAATATCTATATCTAAGATCTAACCATACATATATTTCAGGAAGAAATTTACCAAGAAATAATAACTGTGACAGGAAACACTGATGAGCCCAATTACTACCAACTGGCACAGCTACGGTATATGGACAGGTGCATAAAAGAATGTTTAAGAATATTTCCCAGTATTCCGTCTATTTCCAGAGTGGCGGGGGAAGATATAACAACCAGTTCTGGATATACTATACCAAAGGGATGTAACATACGTATTAATATTTTTGATTTGCATCGTCGACCAGAATTTTGGGAGAATCCCAAAAAGTTTGATGCGGATAGATTTTTACTCGAAAATGTTTTAAAAAGGCATCCGCATTCGTATATACCTTTTAGTACTGGAAGCAGGAACTGTTTAGGTTTGTTAACAATAATTTATTAAAATTATAAATAGCGTTATATATAATAAGCAGGCATTTCGACGATATTATCGGCTTTTAGTATTTTTTTAACTTCTTTTTGTGTAGTAAATGATAATCTAAAATTGATGGTCATATAATTCAAAGAGTGTCCAGTTTAAAATATCTTGGTTGCCATATTACTTAACAACTAAATCCAGATCAAGAGATAAAATGTAGAATCGAGATAGCCCGCACGACATTTTTAAAAATGAGGTCATTCTTCTGTAATGATAACTTGCAACTTCAACTTCGAAAGCGCATGGTTAAATGCTACATTTGGTCAGTCCTCTTATAAGGTGTCGAAGCATGGACAAAAAAAATATCCACCATTAATCGTCTGGAGGCCTTTGAAATGTGGCTGCACAGACGTATACTAAAAATTCCATGGACGGCTATGCTGGCAAATGTGGCAGTCCTTGAGAGAGCAAATGCTGCTCGCGAGCTGCTTGATAACATCAAATGTAGAAAGATGGCCAATTTTGGACACGTAGTAAGGGGAGACCGATATAATATTCTTCAACTTATTATGATGGGTAAAATCTAAGGACGCAGAGGGATTGGTAGAAAGCAGGCCTCTTGGTTGAAGAATATCAGGGAGTGGACAGGAATAAAGAAAACTGAGCAACTATTTAGAATAGCTCGAGACAGAGACAGTTTCGCCATGTTAATCGCCAACGTCAAGGGGACTTGATAGGGCACGTTAAGAAGAAGAAATAATAATCTCCATGGGGCTTGACGAATTGGTCTTAAATATCCTGTATATATTGTATGTTGTACTAAACTACTACTCCCTAAAAATTTCTCAGATTCAAAAATGTCGTAGTTTTCATTAAAACATTCACAGATTTTGTCTAATTTTGCAGGTGTTAAGTGATCAACATTTCCATCAACAACATCATTAACATTAATTGTTTTAAAAGACTAACGTCAACTGAGTGACCTGAAGCTGTATTCTTTGTTCAATATTTTTCGCACTTTATTATTTTTTCTATTGGCATACAAAATACAATTTGTTTTATTTTCTTCAGATTAAAATGCATTATAGACAAATTAGCAACCCTTACTGAAATCATCTCATCTTCATGAACGAGGCACTTAGCTATCAAAATTCCGTCCAAAATGTAGAAGTTTAGGTTTTTGACTCAGTCTCGCCAGGGCGATACTTTTAAAAGGAATTTCTGTATCCTCACTTACTATAACTCTGCATGAGGTATCGATTATTCCAAAGTTAAGACAACTTAATTTTCAACAATCAAATTTTTTTTAAATTTATGACAAATGAGTTTTACATATTATCCATCACAAGAACGCATTCGTCTTTAAAATCGGCTACAAGAAACAACGTACTTCTTAAGTAGTAAATTCTGTTCATTTTTAAGTCAGGAAGTCGATATTAAATATTACAACTAATGCTAAAGGTAAAATAGAGAGTCCTAGAGGTGTAGGAAGGAAACGGGTTTCTTGGTTGAGGAACATTCGTGAATGGACTCGGATACCAAATGCAGGACAATTATTCCATACTGCAGAAGATCAAGAAGCCTTCGCAATGGTGATCGCTAACGTCGGATAATTCTGATATGGCACGCGAAGAAGAAGACAAGTGAGAATTTGGGGGCTTTTATTAGATATAGCTGACATCCGCCCCTTAGTGTCGACTTTTATTTGTTTCTCTGGCTATTGTTTGCATGTCTGTGGTAAGTTGAGAAAGATCGATTTCTTGGAGACCTATTTCTACTAGTATTTCTAGTAGGACTACGTGACGGTCTTCTGGAAGTAGATATAGGCAACCTTCTGACCTCAATATTTGGTTCTTCCTTGCCTGAGATCGGTTTCTAAAATTATTTTGAAAATGTCATATTTTTCCGTAATTAAAACATCTGTTTTCAGTTTGAGATTTTTGTAGAATATTTTGCAATATGCTTGACATCTGGCAAAAAATAAATAGTTAATTATCTGTGGTAGCGACTTCCTCATTTATTCGAAATGCTTTTGGCGAAATTTGAAGATCTGGAAATACTTTTTACCGCTTCATACTCCTCGGCTAAGATAAGTGCTTTATTTAGCATTTGGTGATGCTGTAATCGAACAGCTTGTTGCTTTTCAACATCTTGTTGTCCATATATGAAGGCCTGTATAGCAATTCGTTTCAAAAAATCTTTAGAATCCAGAAGAACGCCAAATGCAATAATCTTTTAATATAGGCTTTATATTCTTGAACATAAAATAAAAAAATAAAAAAGATGAAAACCTTGTGTCCTCCCATACTTTTTATTAGTTTTTTTTTAACTATTTTGTAAAAAAGATGAAGGAAAATATTGAAGAATTTAGAATATTAAAAATTTTACAGGACAGAAATATGGCCAACTGGAAATGAAAGCTGCACTTTATGGAATTTTAAGAAGCTTTAGAATGGAAGCCATTACCAAACCAGCTGATATGCGGCACAAAGGGGATATCGTACTACGACCTGCTTGCGAAATGAGAATAAGGTTTATACCAAGAAACTAATATATATATATATATATATATATATATATATATATATATATATATATATATATATATATAATATATATATATATATATATATATATATATATATATATATATATGTATATATATTGCTATGATATTTTGTTTGTGTGTGAGCAATGCATAATTTAAAATAACATATATAAGTATAGGGTTTTTATCGCGGTTCTCAAAGAATTAGTTTGTAAGTACTTTTTAAATTATCTTTATTATAACTATTATGAAACACGCATATATATCTAATATAGACAATATAAATTTAGTACAACCTATCTTAAATTTGAAAATTCTTACAATAATTAAATTATATTAACAAAATTTTGTACCTTTCTATCACTGAATGCCTAAATGAAACTGTTTTCCAAAATAAAAGGTTCAATCTCCACTCAATATCTTCTTATCAGCCTCGGATATCCTTGTTTTTGTGAAGTTGCTTCTTCCAAATATACTACAATGTTTTAATTATCAGCTTCCAACTATTTAAAATATTCTTCTTTGCTTCTTACTTATAATCTTATTTTTTCTTCTTAATAATTTTCAATCACCATATAGATATTATAATTTTAAATTCTTTTAATCTCCATATAATATACTTTCAAAACACTGTGTACTATCAACTTGTACTATATAATTACTACTTTATTACTGATTACTGTATATTATCTGCTTGTACTATTTATTGACTGACTAACTTCTAATAAATTTACTAATTAACTGTGGAACTGTATCCTGTTTATCTTCTTAATTAACTAACTCCATACTGTGACTGTAACTGTACTAATTTACTCTTATACTAACTTTACTAACTTCATGAATCAACTGTAACTGACTTAATAATGAATCTAGTGTAACTGTGTTAATGTCCTCTTGCTGCAAATTACAGCGTATTTATATCTTTTCATGGTTCCAGAATCTTCTAACAACAAATCATGTTCAAAACTGCTCCATCTGATCAATATTGAACGATCTCGTATCTTCTACTATGCAAATAGGGTTAACTGCCTTCTACTGACGTGTTATATTGACGTTTTTCTAGAGAACTCTCCACCCTTCCATCGAGAACTTTATAGACATTTAGGCTTTCAGATCAAAATATACAATTTTATATAAACTAAACATCTTAAATTAATACTCAAAAGTCAATTATTTAGTGTATATTTGGTTGCATATGCACATGGCTCATTTAAATATATTTATTAATAAAGCAAAATAAAATAAAACTTTTTACACTTATTATTATTTGCTAATTTTTAAAAAATACCCTCATATAAATATTTTTTTATAATATCCGCTAATCTATAACTTATAAATTATTTCTTTAATCACTATTTAATTTTATTACTTAAAAATCATAATATTACTATGCTTATTTCTCCTATATCTATTATTATCTCAATATATATATATTATATATATATATATATATATATATATATATATATAAATTTCAGTCAAAAAATTGAAAATTTAGAAACTTTTATTTGTAGGGACTTTTTTATAGCTCAAATTTAATTTATTTTTTATTATACAATAAGTAATACATAGTTGTTTTATTTGCGAAATGTAGAAAATGTAATCACAGTATAACAACTGCTTATAATTTCTTTAAAAGAATATTTTATCTTATTTAAGATAAAACTGTTAATGGCAGTCATAAAAGATAAAATCGAGGAAAAAGCGAACATGGCAGATGAACAATCGACGCAATTTTTATCTCAAAATATGTCAAATTAAATGACATCTTAAATTTATTACAAGCTGAACAAATAGACCATCAGATAATAAGGACAATTAATGAAATTAACATGAAAAACAAGACCAGAGTTAAAATGCATAGAGAAACAGAATGCATAGAACTAAAAGGAGGAATCCGCCAAGAAGACTCGCTCAGCCCATTGTTATTCAATATGGTAATGAATCAAATAATTCACGAAGTAAGAATAAGACACAAATACCACATGGGAGCGCATAAAATCACGATACTATGCTATGCCGATGATGCAGTACTAATTGCTGATAACGAAGATGACCTACAAAGACAGCTCCACACCTTCAATTTCACAGCAAACAAACTTTATATGAGAATATCAGTAGAAAAAACTAAATGTATAGTGATCAGTAAAGAGCCGCGTAGATGCAAACTAGAAATAGACGGTAAAATTGTAGAACAAGTAATGAAATTCAATTATTTAGGAGTAGAGGTTACTAGTGACAGGGATATAAGAACACAGGGCAACCATCAAAAGCGGCAAGAGTAAGTGGTTGCCTCCGAGAAACCATATGGAGAAACAAATATCTGACCACCGAAAGCAAAATGAAAGTATACAAGACAACAGTAAGACCAATCCTAACATATGCAGCGGAAACAAGGACCAATACAAGAAAGACGAAACAACAAATCAACAATATCGAAATGAAAGTATTAAGATGAATGGCGTGCACATCATTAAGAGACACACAAACCAACAGAAGTATACGGAACAATGCAAAATTCAAAATATTAACTGGTGGATAAAAACAAGAAAAAACAATGGAACGAACATGTAAACCGAATGGGACCAGATAGATTAGCGAACATCTGTAAAAACAACAAACCGTATAGCAGAAGAACTGTTGGAAGGCCGCCAAAAATGTGGAAAGATAATGTACAGTCAACAACGACTGAAACAGAATAAGAGGCAGATAAACAGGAGTAATCCTAGTCACACGAAGAAGAAGAAAAATAAGAAGAAGAAGAAAATAATATTTTGATATCTACCATTATTCAATTATTGAGTTGTAAAGTTTCAAAATTAGATATTTAATAGTTTTTTTTTTTAATTCTAATTAAGTCGTTGTTATATAGTTTATGTAAATCTTAAGGATTTGAACCATAGTACCGAAAAACTAGAGAAAATAAAAAAAACTGAGTCTACACAGCCAGTGGTCAGGAAAATATGGAAACGAATAAAGCGCGGAATAGGATGATGATAGAACAATGGAATGTTAGAGGGACTTTTGAAGTAGGGGCACTAAAGAACTTATCAGATACGTTAGAGAAATATGAGATAGATATTGCAGCTATACAAGAAACTAAACAAAAAGGAAATTTCACCATGGATGTAGGAAACTACGTGTTTTTTAACAGTGGAGACAATGAACGTGTATTTTCGGTGGGATTTTTATAAAGAAAATATTTGCCAATCTGGTGATAGATTTTGAGGCAGTCACAAGCAGGCAGTCACAAGTAAAATAAGAATAAGAGGAAAATATAGAAAAGTAGCCCTTATAAATGTACATGCGTCAAGAGAAAATACAGATGAAGACGTTAAAGATAGCTTTTATGAACAATTAGAACATATGTTTTACAAAATACGATCATATGACATAAAAATAATTGTAGGAGATTTGAATGCCAAGATTGGCAGGGAGGATGTATACAAACAAATAACAGAATGAAAATGTAATCATAGAGACAGTAATCTGAATGGAAAAAGAGTAATAGAATTGGCTTTTGAACACAATATACGAATTATGAGCACTTATTTTGATCACAAAGAAATTCATAAAGGTACCTGGGTATCACCAAATGGAATAAACAGTAAACCAAATAGCTTATTTACTAATAGAAGCCAAACATATGAGAGCCATAAAAGATAGCCAAAGTGCTAATGCAAATTCGGACCACTTTTTGGTTAAAGGTAAAATTGGTGCAAATAATACCCACAATTAATAACACTAGTTATAAAAAAATAAAAAGATATAACGGTACACTACTTCAGGAGGAAAAAAGTTAAGAAAAAATTCAGGCAGCAAATTAAAGAAAAACTGAAAAGCCAGACAACAGTAAATTATATAGAAAGCAGATGGGTACAACTAGAAGAAAAAATCCAAGAAGCAGCCGACTCAGTATTATCAAGAAACAGACAATGTAAACAAACGGATTGGTATGATTAAGATTGTAAGAAAGCCATTACTGACCGAAATAAAGCTAGAATAAATAGCATAATAAGAAATTATGAAGAGAGTAAAAAAGCTTATGCCGCAAAAAGACGGGAAGCAAAGAGGATCTGTAGAAGGAAGAAGCGGTCAAGTTTAGAGCAGAAACTAGTTCGTATTGAAGAAGATTTTTTACATAAACAAGTCAGGAATTTCTACCAAGAAATAAAACGAGACCGAACCCAGTACAAAACCACATCAAGATATTATAAAGATGAAGAGGGGATTCTTTTAGGTGGAACAGATGAAAAATTAAGAAGGTGGGCCAATTATTTCGAAAACATATTATGTACGGACGACCAAGATGAAAGACGACCAAGATGAAAAAAAAATTACTTCCCGGTTTTCATCGTAATTTATAACTGGATCATCTTTTGACAAAAATCCAAAAAGATTTCGTTAGTTTATGAGTTTCTCTAGTTTTTTTTAAATTGTAGAAGTAAAAAAACTTTTGGAATTATTCTTCTAAGAATCCCAAGAACCTTGTATTTCTACAGAACACGATTCTATTATGTCACGAGTGAGAGGAGTAGGCATATTTAGAACCCGAACTTGAACGGAACCGTATCTTTCTTGATAATGGCTCCAAAATGAGTGTCGAAACGTCGAGTATTAAAAACTCAACGCTGTTCTTCCCGACAGCAATCGGTCTGTAGGAAATAAAACTCTATTTGTTGTATGTCTCAATATTTCGTCACGATTTTGTGACTTCTTCAGGAGAAAACTGTACATTTATTAAAATAATTATTATATGTAAACAAAGTAAACATATTAATACTTACAACTAGAATTTCTTTTGGACCGAGAAGACCTTTTTATGCAGAAAGGCTTAGGATGGCTAACCTAACTTCTTCTAAACTTTGCGTGGAGTCTGAATCACCACATTTTAAGTATTAAAATTCAAATTTGGGAATCTCGGTAAAATGATTACCAAAAATAAAGATGCCTTAGAGGTCACTAGTTCAAACTTAAAAAAGAGCACTTTTCTACAAAATCAAGACAGAACTTTCTACCAAATAGAGTTTTTGAGTGCTGGAATAACCTTAATGATAACATTGTATCTGCTCCCTCTACCAACACGTTTAAAAAGAGACTTGACCGTATTATATAATAGTTAAAATATTGTTTTTCTTTTAAATCAAAAATTGCAATTTACTAGTAGGTTACTAATGTAACTTCTTTCTTTTTAAGGACATAATAAGGACTTACCTCTCTGCCACTGCTTATGCATAATAGTAATAGTAATAATAACTGTGTTCATAACAACAGTTGTTCTCCTAAAAAATTAGGACACCAATAATATGTCACCGCTTGTTTTAAAACTTGTGGGATAAAAAACCTAAAATCATCCAGTCAAATTTAATAATGCAACGGGTCATTGCTTTCAGATTATTACTTTTGTTTTATCTGAAATTTAAGCAAACAGAATTCTATCCAAAATAATAAATAACTCGTTTACGACATTTAATAACATAATAATTTATAATCAGTCTTCTGGTCTGCAAATCCTCCAGTGTGATATAAGATAGCTTTGAAAGCCTAAAACCGCCTTACTAAATTTGTCTTTTATTGCTGGATCTGCAATAGATATGTGACATAACCTTGAACCATCCCCGTTTATTCGGTCTTAATTTTCTAAACAAGCGGCAGGATAACCACACATATAAATAGCTACACTCAATTTCGCAACTCATTTTTTATTAAATCGTTCTGATACAAGGTCGCACAAATTAGAATTTGGATTAGTTTAGTTTAGGGGATAAAAACATGTTTTGGTTTTTAATCGCGGCTATTGCGGCTCTGGTGGCTTTTATCTATTTTAAACAAAAGAAAAATGAGGACTTCTGGAAACAAATTATGGCCATTCCGGGTCCTGAAGGATTTCCGTTAGTTGGAACGGAATATCATTTAGATTCTACAGGTAAGCTAAATTTTTCCGATAATATTTTATCAATACATCAACGCAAAACAATAATCTTCTCTGCGGGAATAGTTTTAGTGTAAAGTGTCAATGTTTTATTTATAAAATGTATGTTCTTTTTTTTATTTTTAAACTTTTATTGAGTCTATCAAATATTTAAAACAGTAATTGGAATTATGTTATACATTTTAAAACATAAAACGGTATTACAAAGAAATCGTCAATTTATTTATTTTCTAGAAAAATATTTGCTCAACCACTCAATTGAGTTTATATTATTTTCTTCTTGTCATATATATCGTCTTTGTTTTTATTTGTCTGTTCTTATTTTCTTCGTTTTTATTTGTCCATTCCACTGTAATCCAGGACGTCCTCTTTTCCTCCGATTTGGCTCCCATTTCCAAATTCTCGGCAGCTTTCTTGTCTCCTCCATCGTTCGCATATCCATTATTATCATCAGAGGTGCTACAGCCGTAGTTAAGTCTTGATCTTCCCAGTTTCTTTCGCCTTTTATTATCATCAGAGGTGCTACAGCCGTAGTTAAGTCTCGATCTTCCCAGTTTCTTTTGCCAGTCGTTTCTGTTCATCGGCAATCGTTGCCAGTTTGCTGCCCTCATCTTTCTCGCGTCCTCTAGTCTTTTTTAATCATATATTGAAGGGAAGAAATGCCAGCGCATCTCTCTGCCGTAACCCCGTATATGTTTTAAATTCTTGTGACAGATCGCTTTGTATTTACACGCTGCAGATCACTTTACTCAATTTTTTTACAAGTCTTTAAATTATGAAGAATGTTAAGTTCATTCATGGTTTCATACGCTGACTTAAAGTCCACAAAAAGATGAAACGTATCGATATTAAATTCATTTATTTTTAGCATAAAAATCTGGTCAACTGTTTACCTGTCTGGTCTAAAATCGCTTTGATATGCACGAAGTAAATAGTTCTTCCACGTACGTACTTAAACTGCTGTACAAGCTGTTGGAGAATATTTTGTATATTGTGTTAGAAGAGTTATAACCCCCTAATTCTTCCTATTAAAAAATATGAAGCAAATTGCTTCATTGGAAGCCATGAAAATACATTTTTTTACGTATAACGATTTTGATATTTGAAGTTCAATTTGCTTCAACCCCAAATTTTTTTGTTATTTTTCACGGATATAATGTTTGTTATAATGGCTATGCACCCCAGCGTGGGGATAAACCGCGAATTCTTTCCAGATTCTATTTCTTGGGTGGATCAGTCCCTTTTGTTTATGTTACATCTCTCCATTTTTTTCTGTCTCTAGTTTTTTCTCTCCATTCCTCTTTGAAGGTCTTCTTCGACTTCTTGCAGCTACTTTGATCTTGGTCTTGTCTTCTCCTTCTCTTTCTTCCTTCTGGATTTCATTCTATCATTGCGTATGTCACTGCTTCATCTCCTGCTCGCAAATGTGACCTAATCATCTAACTCTGCGTTGCTTTATTTTAGTCACGATATTTTCCTTAAGTTCATTCTTAATCTGTGTATTTGTTCTTCTTCTATATTCATTTTGCTCTGTTCTGATTGGTCCCAGTGTAGTTCTCATAATATTTCTCTCCGCTATTCCTAAGTCTTCTTCATCTTTTTTGACCATCGTCATTGTTTCTCCTGCATATAATAATATTGGCCTAATTAGGGTGATATAAATGTTCATCTTAGTTTTCTTAGTCAGTTTTTTTCTTTTAAGTAATCGTTTGTTTGCAAAATAAGCTTTATTCGTTGCTTATATTTTTTCTTTTAATTCGGACTTCCTCTCTCTTTTTTGCTTATTGTAACTCCTATGTATTTGAAGTATTCTACTTCTTCAAACTCAGAACTTCCTAGTTTGATTTTTTCGTTCATTGGCTTTTTCCCTAATCTTAATATTTTTGTCTTTTCTTGGTTTAATCTTAGTCCCATTACCTCCCTTTTTCTTTTATTTCTTCTAGCATTTCTTTCATTATTTGCTGTTCTTTGCAATAATAGCAATATCGTCTACATATGCGATTATTTAACCACCTCTTGTTCTTAGATTTCCTTCTGATTTCTATAGTTGCTCGGACGATTCTATGATCGCTTGCAACCGAAAATTGATTTAAGACTATAACATCTTTGACTATATGTTTTTTGTCAGTGATGATTACAGAGAAGATAAGTTTATTATTATTACTGAAGTTATCATATTCAGATTTAAATGTTTAGTATGAAGGTTAATAAAGGCTACATTTTAAAATTATTCTAAAATATACAGGGTGTCACAATAAAGCCCGGCGTTTCAAAGTTATACTTTTTCTTATAGAACACGCTGTATTTTATTGGATTTTCTAATTTTCTGCAAAAAATAAGGTATAGTTTCATAAGACTTCCCTATGCCTATGTACAGAGTGTTCTGAGTTATGTCGAATTTTCTTAAAATGTAAAACTTTAAACGAGGACGCATTCTTAATTTATTTAAGTAATTCTAATAAAATTACTCATGCATCTAAATAGTTGGATATTGGTCGAATGTATTTCATGATTAATTATAAAACATTTATTTACAGGGTGTTATTCAATGTGTAATATAAGGCTTATTTTAAATTGAACAACCTGTATATTAATGAATTATAAAAATAATTTTTTTTCCATTTCGAATGATATACGGATGTCCTATAACTAGGACTGATAGTTTTGCAGTAATTTAAAATTTTATTAAACGGAAATTGATTTCAAGTATTTATAATTATTGTTACTTTCGATTTTTAAACCCATAATATTGACATATTGTTATAAACGAAACCAGTGTAGTTGTAAATACATTTTTTGTAAAAAAATTTAAAATTTTATGTCTTTAGATTTGTATTCTTTGGGAATAGGATAATAAGTATTAAAATATGATGAAAAGAAAATAAAAAAAATTGTTGAAAATCTGATGTTTTTTAGATTTTCTACGATTCATCAAGTGAAAGGCAACTGCGCAAAGGTTACAGTTTTCAAAAATGACGTAGATATTAACGTTATGTTTAATTTTTTGTATTATTTTAAGTATTAAAATAAGTTTAATATTTAAATATAAATAAAACTGTAAAATATATGTATTTCGTTGATTTCATAATAATAATAATAAGATATACCTATAACTTCTTACGTGTTTACGAGCATACACTCTTTTTTTGAAAACAATTAAATACAAAACGAAACAGAAAGAATTTTAATAAAACAAATAATACAAAATGAATAATGAACATAAATAATACAAAATAATCCAAAACAGTATAACTAAAAAATGTTCAGGTATGTAACAGATGTTCAAATTGCTTGCCATCTTGTGCAATAAAACAAGCGATTCTATCTTCGAATGATTTACTTACATTATTTAACATAGCAGGACTTATTGAAGTAAATGCGTTTGTAATTCTTTATTTCATGTCATATCTAGTAGTAGGAGGTGTAGCATAAACAATATTTTTAATATAACCCCACTTAAAAAAATCCATCTTGGTTAGTCCTGGTGACCTAGGGGGCCAATTATATGAACCACCTCTACCTATCCATCTGTTAGTAAATTGTCTGTTAAGGTAGTTCCTAACATTACGTGAGAAATGAGCAAGAGCTCCGTCCAACTGGAGCCACATTTTTGTTCGTAAACAATAACATAACCCAACTAAATTTGATGTCAAACAAGGAGAGAGACTCTCTTTCCTTGTTTAAAGTGGCCTCTAAAGATCGCACTTCCTGTTTAACAATATTTTTGCCCCCACTACCTTAACATTCCCTCTTTTGTCTCTTTGCTCGATGAGTTGCAACCTACAAGACTTATGGACTCGCCCGAGTGGCAATGTACAAGGGGAGTAACGGAGTACGGATATAGAGAGAAGTTGTTATAATGGCGGAAATAACATAGTATTGTAAATTTGTTTGGTTAAATAAAAAGTTGAAAATATCAGTTGGGATGTTAATTTTGGCAAAGAAAACCTACGTTAAGAAAAGTTAAAGTTCTTAGCGCAATCATTACGATTAACTAATATCCATGGTGTTCCATTTAAAATAAGCCTCATATTAGATATTGAGTAATCCAAAATTGAAACATAAGTTTTTAACACCTTGTAAATAAATGTTTAATGATCAATAATGGAATAAATTTAACCATTACCCAACTATTTCGCTGTAAAAGAAAATTTGTTATAATTACTTAAATAAGGCGAGAATGAGTCCTAAAAAATTTTTTTGCTTATAATGTAGTAAGTTGTGGTTTATTTTGTATTATTGGTTTTATTAAAATTCTTTCGGATTCGTTGTGCATCAGCAAGTAAAAGTATAAAGTATACACATTTGTTTACAACTACATTGGTTTCATTTATAACAAATATGTCAAAATGATGGGTTTAAAAATCGAGAGTAACAACTATAAATATTTTGAAATCGAAAAGAAAATTTTAAATTACGCAAAATATATCACTTCTAGTTATATGACATCCATATACCATTCGAAAGTGGAAAATATTTTTAATATAATAATTCATTAATATACAAGGTGGTCTATTTTAAATTAGCCTTATAATGTGTAATATTATTACACATCGAATAATCCAATAATGAAACTACAAATTTTGAACACCCTGTAAATAAATGTTTAATAATTAATCATGAAATACATTTAACCAATATCCAACTATTTAGAGGTATAACCAATTTTATTAGAGTTTCTTAAATAAGTTAGGAATTAGTCTTCGTTTAAAGCTTTATATATTTTAAAATGTAGCCCTCATTAACCTTTAAACTTTAAATTTAAAATTTTTTTAAAATCCTTTACCGTTTGGCTGTAATCTTCCGTCCCGTTAGTGGTGACTAACCCTGTATAAATGATTGTCGTACGAATGTCAAAAAAGGTCACTTGATATAAATGTACATTTGTTGACCGAAAAATGTTATTATAACAAGAGTGTTTGGTATATTATATATTTTTAATGCCATCCAGTGGTTTTTATTCTAATGTTTATCAAGGCTTTTAAAAATAGCAT